GAGACACACAAACTCACACAGAGACCCACAGACTCACACAGCGACCCATAGACTCATCACAGAGACACATAGACTCACACAGAGACCCATAGACTCACACAGATACTCATAGACTCACACAGAGACCCATAGACTCACACAGAGACCGATAGACTCGCACAGAGACCCATAGACTCACACAGAGACCCATAGACTCACACAGAGACCCATAGACTCACACAGAGACCCATAGACTCATCACAGAGACACATAGACTCGCACAGATAACCATAGACTCACACAGAGACACATAGACTCACACAGTGAATTACAAACCTGTCAAACCATACGGTCTACTCGTATTATTGTATAGAGAAATTGAGTTTTCAGATTCCATACAGCCGTTTCAATACGGGGCAAAACAAAAATTGTGTCTGTTTGTTTGTGTTTCTCCCTTGTGATGGGACTTTGTAAGATGAACGTTGAGATGTATAAGGGGCATGAGGTGAGTAATGAGGTCTGAATCGGTCTGTAACAAGGTAGGGCACTGATAAGGGGTTAACAGGTATGCAATGGGTGCATCCAATGCGGTGGGTGGACATCTGGACACCTCTTGGGTTTATTGGCAGAACGCGTGGTGGGGGGGGGGGGGGCTAAACGCCTGTTGTTGTTTATTTTATTTTATCATTTTAATGCTGGCAACAACAACAAAAAACAAGTCCCATCGATGCCGGTGTGGAACTCGACCTGCAGTTCATCATCCGATTGGTCGTTATCTATGATTTATTTAAGTCCTGTACTGAAACGATCACCTCTTTAAATTGGCCTTTAAACTTAACTGTTTAACTTTTAATTTAACAGGTGTAAGGCCCAAACCAGGATCTATCTTTTTTAAACGCGACCTGGCCATCAAAAATGATTGCTCACAGGACGTGGGGGCTTTTCATCACCACCATCATCACGTGGATGTGGATAACAGCAGCCAAACATTTTTCGACGCGTGGTGACGCTGATTCTAAATTGTGGAGGGGAGAAACCGCTGGAGCCGGAGAAAAACCCAAGCGACCACGGGGAGAGAGACACCGCAAAATCCACATATACAGCAGCAGGCGTCAGGGTCGGGATCGAGCCCACGTCCTCCTGTATACCAGGCGAGGTAGTCAACATCTCCTAGCCACCGTGGGGTCGAGCCCACGACCTCCTGCATACCAGGTGAGGTAGTCAACATCTCCTAGCCACTGTGGGATCGAGACCACGACCTTCTGTGTACCAGGCGAGGTAGTCAACATATCATAGCCACCGTGGGATCGAGACCACGACCTTCTGTGTACCAGACGAGGTAGTCAACATTTCATAGCCACAGTGGGATCAAGTCCACGACCTCCTGTGTACCAGGCGAGGTAGTCAACATCTCATAGCCACCGTGGGATCGAGACCACGACCTCCTGTGTACCAGGCGAGGTAGTCAACATCTCATAGCCACCGTGGGATCGAAACCACGACCTCCTGTGTACCAGGCGAGGTAGTCAACATCTCATAGCCACCGTGGGATCGAGACCACGACCTCCTCTGTACCAGGCGAGGTAGTCAACATCTCATAGCCACCGGTGGATCGAGACCACGACCTCCTGTGTACCAGGCGAAGTAGTCAACATCTCCGAGCGATTCGAGGAGAAAGCAGAAACTTAGGACAGGCGTCAACACACAAAGTGGCTGTCCCATGCAAGAATTTCGCAAATCGTTGGCTCACCACGGCTGGACCATTAATTTAGCATGGCCACAAATCGCCACCTGGCCCCAAACCACGAAGGTTCACCGCCTCCGACAAGCACTCACCTGCTCAGCTCACCACCACCCTACTCAGCTCACCACCACCCTCACCACCACCATCACCACCAGTCTACCAACTCACCACTACCCTCACCACCACCCTACCAACTCACCACCACCCTCACTACCAGTCTACCAACTCACCACCACCCTCACCACCAGTCTACCAACTCACCACCACCCTCACCACCACCCTCACCACCACCCTCACCAACTCACCACCACCCTCACCACCACCGTCACCACCACCCTCACCAACTCACCACCACCCTCACCACCACCCTACCAACTCACCACCAGCCTCACCACCCCCCTACCAACTCACCACCACCCTCACCACCACCCTCACCACCACCCTCACCACCACCCTACCAACTCACCACCACCCTCACCAAAACCCTACCAACTCACCACCACCCTCACCACAGTGGCAAGATGTTAACTACCTCGCCTGGTATACAGGAGGTCGTGGGCTCGATCCCGACCCTGACGCCTGCTGCTGTATATTTGGAGTTTGAGTGTCTCTCTCATCATCATCACGGTGGCTAGGAGATGTTAACTACCTCGCCTGGTTTACAGGAGGTCGTGGGCTCGATCCCACGGTGGCTAGGAGTTGTTGACTACATCGCCTGGTCTACAGGAGGTCGTGGCTTCGATCCCAACCCCTTTACGCCTGCTGCTGCTGTATATTTGGAGTTTGCGGTGTCTGTCTCCTCGTGGATGCGTGGATTTTTCTCCGGGTCCTCCGGTTCTACCCTCCACATTTAGACTCACCATCACCACGCGTTCAGAGTATTTGGCGACTTCTACAAATTTCCACACGATGACCACGATAAGCACCACTTCGTTGATCCATCATTTGTGGCCAGGTGGTTTCTTGAAAGAAAAAAATTCGCAACGTTGCTCAGTGGGGCCTTAAGCCTCGTTAAATAAAAAAAAACCCCAACGTAGTTTAGTGTTGTTTTTAAGACCGCCGGCGCGCCTATCTCTCGCGCGATATCCCAGAAATGTATTTCTTTGAAACTTGGACCTGCGCACCATATAAACCGCATTTTTTCGGGGGACGGCGAGGTCAAAATCCTGCCGGTTCACGTGTTCCACGGCAGATAACGGAGGCGCCTTGGAGAAGGAGAGAGAGAGAGAGAGATACACAATGTGTGCACCTGCCGGCTGCAGATACGGGCGCCACAGTGGCTAGGAGATGTTAACTACCTCGCCTGGTTTACAGGAGATCGTAGGTGCGATCCCGACCCTGACGCCTGCTGCTGTATATTTGGAGTTTGCGTGTCCCTCTCATCATCATCACGGTGGCTAGGAGATGTTAACTACCTCGCCTGGTATGCAGGAGGTCGGGGGTTCGATTCCAACCCCTATGCCTGCTGTATATTTTAAGTTTGCATTGTCTCTATTTCATCATCATCACGGTGGCTAGGAGATGTTAACTACCTCGCCTGGTCTACAGGAGCTCGTGGGTTCGATCCCGAGCCTGACGTCTGCTGCTGCTGTATATTTGGAATTTGCGTGTTTCTCTCCTCGTGGTCGCGTGCATTTTTCTCCGGGTCCTCCGGTTTTCCCCTCCACATTTAGACTCACCATCACCACGCGTTCAGAGTGATTTGGCTGCTGCTGTACATTTCCACGCGATGGTGATGATGGTGATGATGATGGTGGTGGTAGTGACGATGATGGTGGTGGTGATGATGGTAGTGGTGGTGGTGACGATGATGATGATGGTGGTGGTGGTGACGATGATGATGGTGGTGATAATGATGATGGTGGTGGTGGTGATGATGATGGTGGTGGTGGTGATGATGGTGGTGGTGGTGATGATGATGGTGGTGGTGATGATGATGGTGGTGGTGATGATGATGATGGTGGTGGTGATGATGATGATGGTGGTGGTGATGATGATGGTGGTGATGATGATGGTGATGATGGCGGTGGTGGTGCTGATGATGATGGTGATGATGGTGGTGGTGATGATGATGATGATGGTGGTGGTGGTGATGATGGTGGTGGTGATGATGGTGGTGGTGATGATGATGGTGATGATGGCGGTGGTGGTGCTGATGATGATGGTGGTGGTGGTGGTGATGATGATGGTGATGATGATGATGGTGGTGGTGGTGGTGATGATGATGATGGTGGTGGTGATGATGATGGTGGTGATGATGATGGTGATGATGGCGGTGGTGATGGTGATGATGATGATGATGGTGGTGGTGATGATGATGGTGGTGATGATGATGGTAATGATGGCGGTGGTGGTGCTGATGATGATGGTGATGATGATGGTGGTGATGATGGTGGTGATAAGACATCCACGGCGTTGAGCAGCTATCATTTGCGATCGCCCGGGGTCGCTCCTCAAAGAGAACTGCATCGCTCAGTGGGACCTTACCTGGCAAGCAATAAAAATAGTTTGTAGTTGAATACGTTTTGCAACCGGCACAATTCGATCATGAAATAGAGGGGGATGGGGGGGGGTTGGAAGGGTGGGTGGACAGGTGTCTGGGTGGGTGGGTTCGTGTGTTGGTTGGGTTGGTGGGTGGACAATTGTGTGGGTGGGTTTGTGTGTGGGTGGGTGGAGTGGTGGGTGGGCGGGTTCGTGTGTTGGTTGGGTGGGTGGCCAGTTGGGTGGGTGGGTTTGTGTGTTGGTTTGGTGGGTGGGTGGACAAGTGTGTGGGTGGGTGGGTTTGCGTGTTGGTTTGGTGGGTGGGTGGAGTGGTGGGTGGGCGGGTGGGTTTGTGTGTTGGTTTGGTGGGTGGGTGGACAATTGTGTGGGTGGGTGGGTTTGTGTGTTGGTTTGGTGGGTGGGTGGAGTGGTGGGTGGGCGGGTTCGTGTGTTGGTTGGGTGGGTGGCCAGTTGGGTGGGTGGGTTCGTGTGTTGGTTGGGTTGGTGGGTGGACAATTGTGTGGGTGGGTGGGTTTGTGTGTTGGTTGGGTTGGTGGGTGGACAAGTGTGTGGGTGGGTTTGTGAGTTGGTTTGGTGGGTGGGTGGAGTGGTGGGTGGGTGGGTGGCTTTGTGTGTTGGTTGGGTTGGTGGGTGACCAGGCGTGTGGGTGGGCGGGTGGTCGGGCATCGTGTGGGTGGCTAATGTCCAACAACGGGAGGGGGACGGAGGGGGTCGCGGTGATCGGGGGCGTCGTCGTCGTCGTCGGGGGGGGCCGGAGGATAAATACCGTGGACCACCCGGCACCGACCGCTGCCGTGCTCTCGCTCGCAAAGCAACAGCACCGCCGCCCCGACTCCCAAGCGGCGCGAACGCGCTGACCCACCGACCGTCGCCAAGTCGCGCTTCGGAGCGAGCCATGGGTCGCGGGGAAGGCCGCAGCAGCCGCAGCAGCAGCAGCAGCAGCGATGGCGGGTCGAGCGAGTGCGGTGCTGGGAAGAAGAAGAAGCAGCGACGCTCATGGAGCCGACTGGAGATCGCGCTGACGGTGACGGCCTCTCTGTTCGTGGTGGCCTGCGCCGCTCTCATCGCCGTCGCCTGGCTCGCCGTGGAGGACAGCAAACAGAGCGGCAAGACAGGTCACCGATTGCGCGTTTTCTAATCGGGTGTTGCCGGCGGCGGCGGTGCTGGCGCTCAGCGACGAATTGCCCAAGTTCTGCGGTCCTTTACGTATGCTGAGACGTTTATCGGCAATAACTCACGCGTGCGTGCGAGGGAGAAACACTCTATCCCGTACAGGTCGTGTCCATATCGTGGGACACCTTTTGTTTGTCAGTGTCAAAGTATAAAAAATAAAGTTGTTTAAACAGGAGCTGTGGTAAGATGTTCAAACACCAAGTAGATATTTTTTCTCAGGAATTAAGTCTCAATTAACCACACAGAGTGCTTGTGGTGAGCACGCAAACAAACATGCTCTGCTAATATTTGCATTGTCTTTGAAACTGATTGGCCTACACCGGCCACAGCATATGTTATGGATATATTATAATATAAAATATGTTATGCATATATTATAATACTACCCAGGAACAAACATTTTATTACATGGTGCTATCAGTTTCAAATACAATGCATGTATTATCCAAACGTGTTTGTTTTGCGTGTTCACCACAGGTAAGCATGGTTAATGCAGACTTGATTCCTTGCGAACGGCACCTATTTGGTATCTGAACATCTTATCGCAGCTCCTGTTTTATTGCCAGACAGGGTACAAAGCTATTCCGTTGTTTCAGACTTTGATACTGGCAAAAAAGACAGGTGACCTGTGATACGGGATAGTGTTTCTCCCTCGCACGTACGCTGTGAATTATCTCTGAGTGCCCTGGTATCCTCCCGCCGCGGTGGATATAAACACTCATGTGGCCGATAACATCTCAGTATATGTAGAGGATCGCAGAACTTAGGCAATTAGTTGGTAGCGCCGGCTCCTCACTACGGCGTGGTGATGATGTTTTTTTAAAATCTCAATTCTGTAAAAAAAATGTTTACATTATTTATTGTTATCTGAAAAGGAGTGGGGGGGGGGGCAGATATTAATTTAGATAGCAGATTAAAACTAATTTACAAAAATAAGAAATGATTTAAATTTTAATGCCAGTATTAAAATAAATATACTGTTGCTGTAATAACTTAATGTGTCATAACTTTTGGGCAACCCTGTACGAACAATAAAACCATAGGAACAAATATATATTTTATTATATAATTTTATTTTTAATTTACTTTTATTAATTAAAATTTTTATTTTTTTACCTACGTGACTTTACCGAAAAAAACCCCAAGAATATATAAATGCCATCGAAAGAATTTGAACAGTAACGATCCGTGGGATCGTCAGTCTAGCGGCGGACCTGCCAGCCTGTGACCACTAGTCTCACGGAACTGTGGCAGCTTCACGTTTATCGCCACCGTAAAACACCTCGTGCATTGCGTTAAACGGCGAGCAGTTTAGATTTGTAGATAGCTAAGCGTTGAGATTTGTAGATAGCTAAGCGTTGAGATTTGTAGATAGCTAAGCGTTGAGATTTGTAGATAGCTAAGCGTTGAGATTTTTAGATAGCTAAGCGTTGAGATTTGTAGATAGCTAAGCGTTGAGATTTGTAGATAGCTAAGCGTTGAGATTTGTAGATAGCTAAGCGTTGAGATTTGTAGATAGCTAAGCGTTGAGATTTGTAGATAGCTAAGCATTGAGATTTGTAGATGGCTAAGCGTTGAGATTTGTAGATAGCTAAGCGTTGAGATTTGTAGATGGCTAAGCGTTGAGATTTGTCGATAGCTAAGCGTTGAGATTTGTCGATAGCTAAGCGTTGAGATTTGTAGATAGCTAAGCGTTGAGATTTGTAGATAGCTAAGCGTTGAGATTTGTCGATAGCTAAGCGTTGAGATTTGTAGATAGCTAAGCGTTGAGATTTGTCGATAGCTAAGCGTTGAGATTTGTAGATAGATAAGCGTTGAGATTTGTAGATAGCTAAGCGTTGAGATTTGTAGATAGCTAAGCATTGAGATTTGTAGATAGCTAAGCTTTGAGATTTGTAGATAGCTAAGCATTGAGATTTGTCGATAGCTAAGCGTTGAGATTGGTAGATAGCAAAGCGTTGAGATTTGTAGATAGCTAAGCATTGAGATTTGTAGATAGCTAAGCGTTGATATTTGTAGATAGCTAAGCGTTGAGATTTGTAGATAGCTAAGCGTTGAGATTTTTAGATAGCTAAGCGTTGAGATTTGTAGATAGCTAAGCATTGAGATTTGTAGATAGCTAAGCGTTGAGATTTGTAGATGGCTAAGCGTTGATATTTGTAGATAGCTAAGCGTTGAGATTTGTAGATAGCTAAGCGTTGAGATTTGTCGATAGCTAAGCATTGAGATTTGTAGATAGCTAAGCGTTGAGATTTGTAGATAGCTAAGCGTTGAGATTTGTAGATGGCTAAGCGTTGGGATTTGTAGATAGCTAAGCGTTGAGATTTGTAGATAGCTAAGCGTTGAGATTTGTAGATAGCTAAGCGTTGAGATTTGTAGATGGCTAAGCGTTGAGATTTGTAGATGGCTAAGCGTTGAGATTTGTAGATGGCTAAGCGTTGAGATTTGTAGATGGCTAAGCATTGAGATTTGTAGATAGCTAAGCGTTGAGATTTGTAGATGGCTAAGCGTTGAGATTTGTAGATGGCTAAGCGTTGAGATTTGTAGATAGCTAAGCGTTGAGATTTGTAGATAGCTAAGCGTTGAAATTTGTAGATAGCTAAGCGTTGAGATTTGTAGATAGCTAAGAGTCCCACCTTTCAGAATGGTGCTCTTGTTATCCACTCACATTGCCCAGCATGGGTTCGACTTCCTCCAGGTTGCGTGGAAGCCCCAAATCATTGAGGTCTCCGTAGGGTAACATACGCCCGAACGATGATCCAATGTCAATGATAACACCGCTGGCGTGATTCTTATTGTGTCTGTGTGTGTGGCCTTCATAAGAAAACATACACAGTGAGGGAAAAAAGTATTTGATCTCCTGCTGATTTTGTACGTTCAAATACTTATTTCCCTCATTAAAATGCAAATCAATTTATAACATTTTTGACGTGCGTTTTTCTGGATTGTGTTGCTGTTATTCTGTCTCTCACTGTTCAAATAAACCTACCATTAAAATTAAAGATTGATCATTTCTTTGTCAGTGGGCAAACGTACAAAATCAGCAGGGGATCAAATACTTGTTTCCCTCACTGTATAGTATGCGACTTTGCTTCATAGCACAGAAAGAGGGGCCATTGAGCCTTTGCCTGCGAAAGGTCACCTATGATATATTCTTCATGTGCCCTGACGAAGGGTCGTTGCCCGGAACATCGCCCCACGATGTTAATGACACGAGAGTTTTGTTTTAATCCCTCGGGTTAGATCGCGTGAATATCGACGCGTCGCTTAAACCCGCCGCCACCCGGCATAGCCACTCGGTAAGAGGTTTGCCGTGTTCTGTTCACGCGAAAAAAGCCCCTTACTGACTGACCGTGTGGTCGGGTGGTGGCGGGTTTTAACGACTCATTCATATTCGCGTGATCCTTTACCCGAGCAACCCCATAATTTACACTATGAGACATCTCCTTTACCAGTGGCAAAATATAGTAGTAGGTTTTTACCCTTTAAACTGGTACAAAACTGACACTTTTATACAAGGCATCATGTTTGCAATAACCGCAACACAAGCAGTCAAAATGCAATCAAAAAGAAACAACTCTGATAATGGTAATGATATGCACTGTTCTTGAAGTTGATTGATCCACACCCGAGACAGCTTTCCTTAGAGCCTAGTCTCCATTGATGTTGGACCAGATGACGCCAAAAGGGCTTTTGTTTCTTTTTGTTTGCATTTTGACTGCTTGTGTTGCGGTTATTGCAAACATGATGCCTTGTATAAAGGTGTCAGCTTTGTACCAGTTTAAAGGGAAAAAACCTACTACTATAACCCCATAATTGCGGACGCGGTAAACGCCGCGTCATCGTCGTTGGCCGGGCTCGCACACCACTGGCAATGGAGGCGCAGCACCGACCAGATGTTGGCGCTCCGTCAACCGATTTCGCACGCGGAGATGACGTTGAGCCCTGCAAGCCTGACTCTGCTGATGAGAACGCCGATTGTCAAAACCAGCCAGTTCACCGGCATCGATTGAAGCGACGGGTGAACTCTGCCGCTGATGAGACGTCGGATGTCTAAGCTGGCTCCAGGAGGGTTTTGCTTGCGCTGAGACACCGACGCCGCTTAAGCGATTCGCTCACAGAAGGCCACGCCTGGCTGACGGGATCTGTTCAAACAAATGGAAATACTGTTGTATGGAGGGATGCTTACGAGCAGGAGGTGGAGGTGGTGGAGCAAAAGGAGGTGGAGGAGAAGTAGGAGGAGGTGGAGCAGGAGGAAGATTAAGACGAGCAGGTGGAGGAGGCATTGGATGAGGAGGAGCAGTAGGAGGAGGAGACAGTGGAGCAGGAGGCAGAGGTCGCAACCGGGTACCCGATACCCGTACCCTACCCGATACCCAGCTACCCGTACCCGGCCGGGTACGGGTATGGGTACGTTTGCGACCCTGGTGCGGCCGGGTACGGGTAGACCGTGAGTCACTGGTGAGTAACTGTTTGTCACTCATTTCTCAACGTCTTGTCTCTTCTCACAATTCAAGTCCTAGAATCAACCCACCCGCGCCTGCAACATGGCTTCATCCCAGAGGTCGCAATCGGGTACCCAATACCCGTACCCTACCCGTACCCGGCCGGGTATGGGTAGGGTACGGGTACGGCCAGGTACGGGTATGGGTACCCGTTTGCTACCCTGGTGCGGTCGGGTACGGGTACGGGTAAGGAATCAAAACCCGTTTGCGACCTCTGGCAGGAGGATGGAGAGGAGCAGGGTGAGGAGCAAAAGGAGGAAAGCAGTAGGAGCAAGCGGAGGAGCATGTGGAGCAAGTGGAGGTGAAGTAGGAAGCGAAGAGGGAGGGGGTGGAGTAAGAGGAGGAGGATGAGGAGCAGGGGGAGGAGGTGGAGAATGAGGAGGAGGAGGAGGAGATGGAGCCCACTGGTTGACTCCATTCTGTGCGCCCCGCAGAGAGGACTGCGCTGTCTGGCAGCATGAAGATCGTCACCGGAGTCGAGTTCACGCCGGCGCTCCTCGACCGCGAGTCGGCCGAGTTCAAGACGCTCGCCTTCGACTTCGAGAAAACGGTCGCGCACCCCGGGGTCACGCATGGGGTCACGCACGGGGTCAGACACGGGGTCACGCACGGGGTCACGCACGGGGTCACGCACGGGGTCACGCACGGGGTCACGTACGGGGTCACGTACGGGGTCAGACACGGGGTCAGACACGGGGTCACACATGGGGTCACACAGGGGGTCACACGCGGGGTTACTCACGGGGTTGCACTGGGTTAAACTGGGTTGCCCATAGACTAGCTTAGGACGCATAGACTCACATAGAGACTCATAGACTCACATAGAACTCTATGGACCAACATAGAGACTCACGGACACACATAGAGACCAATGAGCTCCAATAGAGACCCATAGACTCACATAGAGACCCATCAACTCACATAGAGACTCATAGACTCACATAGAGACCCATCAACTCACATAGAGACTCATAGACACACATAGAGACCCATGAGCTCCAATAGAGACCCATAGACTCACATCGAGACCCATGGATTCACATGGAGACCCATCAACTCACATAGAGACTCATAGACTCACATAGAGAGCTATAGACTCACACATATACCCATAAACTCACGTAAAGACCCATAAACTCACATAGTGACTCATAGACTCACATAGAGACTCATATAACTCACACAGAGACCAATAGACTCGCATAAAGACCTGTGGACTCACGTGAGAATCGCCCCTCCCCCACCCGCCCACCCCTTCCCCCGGTTCCTCTTTCAGATCAACGACGTCTATTCCGCCAGCGCTATGAAGAATGACTACATCAGCTGCAAGGTGCTGACGTTCAGGTGAGCAGGGGCCCGCAGAACAACGGGATCAAAGTGCGGGCCAAACGATCCTTGCCCCTTGAGTTGGGGGCAGTTCACCAGCCACGTGTTGGTTCAGGGCAAAGCCAGGCCCGACGCTGGCGACCACTTCGCTGAAATGCCGACGCTTGCGTAACGGTGCCCGCGGCATCGGCATTCGTTAGCCCCTACACGCTGACCGGGAGAAACGCCGAGGCGTGATGGGAGGGAGATCGGTTGCTGGGAATGAGGAAACACTGACGAGGGGAGGGAATCAGAGAAGGGGGGCTGTGGGGATGAGAGAGAGACGTCGACAGGAGTGATGGGAGAGGAGAGAGATGTGGATGAAGGAGGGAGCTGTGTATGAAGAAGAGAGTTGTGGATGATGGAGGGAGCTGTGGAGGAAGGAGGGAGCTGTGGATGAAGGAGGGAGCTGTGGATGAAGGAGGGAGCTGTGGATGAAGGAGAGAGCTGAGGATGAAGGAGGGAGCTGAGGATGAAGGAGCGAGCTGTGGATGAAGGAGGGAGCTGTGGATGAAGGAGAGAGCTGTGGATGAAGGAGGGAGCTGTGGATGAAGGAGAAAGCTGTGGATGAAGGAGGGAGGCTGTGGATTAAGGAGAGAGTTGTGGATGAAGGAGGGAGCTGTAGATGAAGGAGAGAGCTGTGGATGAAGGAGGGAGCTGTGGATGAAGGAGGGAGTTGAGGATGGAGGAAAGAGCTGTGGATGAAGGAGGGAGCTGTGGATGAAGGAGAGAGCTGTGGATGGTGGGAGCTGTGGATGAAGGAGGGAGCTGTGAATGAAGGAGAGAGCTGTGGATGAAGGAGGAAGCTGTGGATGATGGAGGGAGCTGTGGATGAAGGAGGGAGCTGTGGATGAAGCTGTAGATAAAGAAGGGACCTCTGGATGAAGGAGGGAGCTGTGGATGAAGAAGAGAGTTGTGGATGAAGGAGGGAGCTGTGGGTGAAGGAGGGAGCTGAAGATGAAGGAGGGAGCTGTGGATGAAGGAAGGAGCTGTGGATGAAGGAGGGAGCTGTGGATGAAGGAGAGAGTTGTGGATGAAGGAGGGAGCTGTGGATGAAGGAGGGAGCTGTGGATGAAGGAGAAAGCTGTGGATGAAGGAGGGAGGCTGTGGATGAAGGAGAGAGTTGTGGATGAAGGAGGGAGCTGTGGATGAAGGAGGGAGCTGTTGATGAAAGAGAGAGCTCTGGATGAAGGAGGGAGGTGTGGATGAAGGAAGGAGCTGTGGGTGAAGGAGATAGCTGTGGATGAAGGAGAGAGCTGTGGGTGAAGGAGAGAGCTGTGGATGAAGGAGAGAGCTGTGGATGAAGGAGAGAGCTGTGGATGAAGGAGGGAGCTGAGGATGGAGGAGAGAGCTGTGGATGAAGGAGGGAGCTGTGGATGAAGGAGGGAGCTGAGGATGGAGGAGAGAGCTGTGGATGAAGGAGGGAGCTGTGGATGAAGGAGGGAGCTGTGTCATGAAGGAGAGAGCTGTAGATGAAGGAGAGAGCTGTGGATGAAGGAGGAGCTGTGGATGAAGAAGGGAGCTGAGGATGGATGAGAGAGCTGTGGATGAAGGAGGGAGCTGTGGATGAAGGAGGGAGCTGTGGATGATGGAGGGAGCTGTGGATGAAGGAGAGAGCTGTGGATGAAGGAGGGAGGCTGTGGATGAAGGAGAGAGTTGTGGATGAAGGAGGGAGCTGTGGATGAAGGAGGGAGCTGTGGATGAAGGAGGGAGCTGTTGATGAAGGAGGGAGCTGTTGATGAAAAGAGAGCTGTGGATGAAAAAGAGAGCTGTGTATGAAGGAGAGAGCTGTGGATGAAGGAGGGAGCTGTGGATGAAGGAGGGAGCTGTGGATGAAGGAGGGAGATGTGGATGAAGGAGGGAGCTGTGGATGAAGGAGAGAGCTGTAGATGAAGGAGAGAGCTGTGGATGAAGAAGGGAGCTGTGGATGAAGGAGAGACGTGGATGAAGGAGAGAGCTGTGGATGAAGGAGGGAGCTGTGGATGAAGGAGGGAGATGTGGATGAAGGAGGGAGATGTGGATGAAGGAGGAGCTGTGGATGAAGGAGAGAGCTGTGATGAATGGAGAGAGGCTGTGGATGAAGGGGAGAGCTGTGGATGAAGGAGGGAGCTGTGGATGAAGGAGAGAGTTGCGGATGAAGGAGGGAGCTGTGGATGAAGGAGGGAGCTGTGGATGAAGGAGGGAGCTGTGGATGATGGAGGGAGCTGTGGATGAAGGAGGGAGCTGTGGATGAAGGAGGGAGTTGCGGATGAAGGAGGGAGCTGTGGATGAAGGAGGGAGCTGTGGATGAAGGAGGGAGCTGTGTGGATGAAGGAAGGAGCTGAGGATGAAGGAGGGAGCTGTGGATGAAGGAGGGAGCTGTGGATGAAGGAGGGAGCTGTGTGGATGAAGGAAGGAGCTGAGGATGAAGGAGGGAGCTGTGGATGAAGGAGGGAGCTGTTGATGAAGAGAGAGCTCTGGATGAAGGAGGGAGGTGTGGATGAAGGAGGGAGCTGTTGATGAAGGAGGGAGCTGTGGATGAAGGAGAGAGTTGTGTATGAAGGAGAGACATGTGGATGAAGGAGAGAGCTGTGGATGAAGGAGGGAGCTGTGGATGAAGGAGGGAGCTGTGTATGAAGGAGAGAGCTGTGGATGAAGGAGGGAGCTGTGGATGAAGGAGGGAGCTGTGGATGAAGGAGGGAGCTGAGGATGGAGGAGAGAGCTGTGGATGAAGGAGGGAGCTGTGTGGATGAAGGAGGGAGCTGTGTGGATGAAGGAAGGAGCTGAGGATGAAGGAGGGAGCTGTGGATGAAGGAGGGAGCTGTGGATGAAGGAGGGAGCTGTGTGGATGAAGGAAGGAGCTGAGGATGAAGGATGGAGCTGTGGATGAAGGAGGGAGCTGTTGATGAAAGCAAGAGCTCTGGATGAAGGAGGGAGCTGTTGATGAAGGAGGGAGCTGTGGATGAAGGAGAGAGTTGTGTATGAAGGAGAGACATGTGGATGAAGGAGAGAGCTGTGGATGAAGGAGGGAGCTGTGGATGAAGGAGGGAGCTGTGGATGAAGGAGGGAGCTGTGGATGAAGGAGAGAGCTGTGGATGAAAGAGGGAGCTGTGGATGAAGGAGGGAGCTGTGGATGAAGGAGGGAGCTGAGGATGGAGGAGAGAGCTGTGGATGAAGGAGGGAGCTGTGGATGAAGGAGAGACCTGTGGATGAAGGAGAGAGCCGTGGATGAAGGAGGGAGCTGTGGATGAAGGAGGGAGCTGTGGATGAAGGAGGGAGCTGTGGATGAAGGAGAGAGCTGTGGATGAAGGAGGGAGCTGTTGATGAAAGAGAGAGCTCTGGATGAAGGAGGGAGGTGTGGATGAAGGAGGGAGCTGTTGATGAAGGAGGGAGCTGTGTATGAAGGAGAGACATGTGGATGAAGGAGAGAGCCGTGGATGAAGGAGGGAGCTGTGGATGAAGGAGGGAGCTGTGGATGAAGGAGGGAGCTGTGGATGAAGGAGAGACCTGTGGATGAAAGAGAGAGCCGTGGATGAAGGAGGGAGCTGTGGATGAAGGAGGGAGCTGTGGATGAAGGAGGGAGCTGTGTATGAAGGAGAGAGCTGTGGATGAAAGAGGGAGCTGTGGATGAAGGAAGGAGCTGTGGATGAAGGAGGGAGCTGAGGATGGAGGAGAGAGCTGTGGATGAAGGAGGGAGCTGTGGATGAAGGAGTGAGCTGTGGATGAAGGAGAGAGCAGTGGATGAAGGAGGGAGCTGTGGATGAAGGAGGGAGCTGTGGATGAAGGAGAGAGCTGTGGATGAAGGAGAGAGTTGTGGATGAAGGAGGGAGCTGTGGATGAAGGAGGGAGCTGTGGGTGAAGGAGGGAGCTGTGGGTGATGCTGTGGATGAAGGAGAGAGCTGAGGATGGAGGAGAGAGCTGTGTATGAAGGAGGGAGCTGTGGATGAAGGAGGGAGCTGTGGGTGAAGGAGGGAGCTGTGGATGAAGGAGGGAGCTGTGGATGAAGGAGGGAGCTGTGGGTGAAGGAGAAAGCTGTGGGTGAGGGAGAGAGCTGTGGATGAAGGAGGGAGCTGTGGATGAAGGAGGGAGCTGGGGATGAAGGAGGGAGCTGTGGATGAAGGAGGGAGCTGTGGGTGAAGGAGAGAGCTGTGGGTGAAGGAGAGAGCTGTGGGTGAAGGAGAGAGCTGTGGATGAAGGAGATAGCTGAGGATGAAGGAGGGAGCTGTTGCTGATGGAGGGAGCTGTGGATGAAGGAGAGAGCTGTGGGTGAAGGAGAGAGCTGTGGATGAAGGAGAGAGCTGTGGATGATGGAGGGAGCTGTGGATGAAGGAGGGAGCTGTGGATGAAGGAGGGAGCTGTGGATGAAGGAGGGAGCTGTGGATGAAGGAGGGAGCTGTGTGTGTGGAGAAGTGGGAACGAAAGGACTCAAAGTCTCACCTGTCCCCGCGTGTTTGTGACGAGTGTTCGCGAGGCTCGCGTTGAACCGATGCCACTGGAAACAGGGGTCAGATGCCCTCCCAGAATTCCGTACGACTGGTAGGATGTGTAAAAATCCCGTTTTCTTTACGTGGAGAGATACAAACAGGAGGATGCCAGCCGGACTGTGAGCCGGCATCACTACCAGTTGTCCAAGCTCTACACCCCCCTCGATATTGAGACGTTCCCTGCCAATTAATGAGTGGCCATGCATGTGGGGGGGGGGGGGGTGGACCGGAGCACCCGGAGAAAACCCGCGTGCGTCAGGGGGCAATGCATTTATTGCATACAGATGGAACAGATGCAGATTAGTCGGCCTTCTCCTGGCAGAGACAAGGGTACGACTCCTACCCACTGGTAGAAAGAAGTGTGGAACAAACGGAGATTGGTCCACACACTTTGCTCCTCTACTTCTCCTGGTAGAAAGGCGACGCTACACCCACCAGGGAACTTGCGATCCGCCAAGCCTCGCAGTCGTCGCTGCTGCTGCAAGACACGGTGCTGGTTTACCGGCGTAGCCGCCACAACCACCACCGAATCTGCGATGCCCTGGCGCGAACGGCGCTCAATCAACAACACATAAATGTCATTCCTACCGTCACGATTCATTTATTTACCATTCATCGTCATGATGAATACCGTGTGTATCTTAGTCGTACTATTGTTGCGCTCGTTTACAACGGATTGCCTCGCTAGGCCTCATGACCCTTTGCCAGGGAGGGTTGCTGCCAAGTTTTCGTAGGTGGTAGTAGTGGGGGGCCGCGGGGGGGGGGGGGGAGGTGATGTTGTTGATGTTGTTGATGTTGTTGTTGTTGCTGCCGCGCCTCGATTCAATGGCCGAACGCTCCGTAACCTTGATTTGAAGCTTTCGTGACTGCAGGAATCATCTTCTTGGTTCTTTCAGTAAAGTCACGTAGGTAGAAATGAAATAAAATTAAACAATTTCGATTTAAAGCTTTCGTGACTGCAGGGATTCATCTTCTTGGTTCTTTCGGTAAAGTCACGTAGAAGGAAAATAATAAAAGAATAAAAATGAAACATGATAAAATAATTCTCACGACGTTTCGGCCACAACGCAAGCAGCCGTCCTCAGGTGAAGAACAGGTCTGTCGGAAAGACAGTGTCTGAATGAAACACCACAAGGCTTGGCAGCGTATATTTAAGCTGGGTTGGAGGGGGAAGAGCGCCTTGACGAAAGAATGTTCATATCAAGAGGAATTTAGCATATTTACCTGAAGACGGCTCCTTGCGTTGTGGCCGAAACGTCGTCAGAATTATTTTATGATGTTTTATTTTTATTATTTTATTATTTCCCTTCTTCGTGACTTTACCAAAAGAACCAAGCAGAAAAATTAAACAAATCACGACGTTTCGATCGCGACACAAGCAATCGTCATCAGGTGGGGCAACCACATCAATAAACAACCGCTAACCTCGAACCGACGCCGCCCCCGTCGCTCGCTTTCCGCGGCAGGTCGGGCAGCGTGCTCACCTCCTTCGGGCTCGAGTTCTTCTCCGGGTCCTCCGTGCAATCGGTGGTGGACGAGGCGCTGGCGACGCTCAAGGAGGCCATCGTGCCCCTGGGCGGCGGGTCCACGGATGGCCGGCTCGGACGCTTCACGGTCGACTCGACGAGCGTGGACGTCAACGGTGAGGACCGTCGCTCCGGAACCCGCGTGCGCGTCGCGCGCTCTCATCCGTAGATGGAGGTCGCGGACCTCTTGTTTGAGGTCACGGCGGCGTGACCTCTTGTTTAAGGTCACGGCGGTGTGACCTCTTGTTTAAGGTCACGGCGGCGTGACCTCTTATTTAAGGTCATGGCTCCGTGACCTCTTATCCAAGGTCACGGCACCGTGACCTCTTTAGGATGACGACGTTGACGACGATGCAGATGTTGATGACGACGATGACGACGATGACGCCGATGTTGACGATGACGATGATGACGACGCGGCTGTTGACGATGACGACGACGACTGACCGCATTGCGTCTCTCTCGCCCTTCTCCAGGTGTGAAGCCCACGGAGCCCGGGAAACCGCCAGGTGAGAAGCGGAGAGAGCGCAGCAGCAGTGGATAGAGCGCAGCAGCGCGTGGTGACGTTCATTGTAAATGTGGAGGGGAAAACCCGGAGGACTCGGAGAAAAATCTACGCGACCACGGGGAGAGAGAGAGACGCAAACACCAAATATACAGCAGCAGGCGTCAGGGTCGGGATCGAACCCACGACCTCCTGTAGACCAGGCGAGGTAGTTAACATCTCCTAGCCACCGTGATAATGATGAGAGAGAGAGAGACACGCAAACTCCAAATATACAGCAGCAGGCGTCAGGGTCGAGATCGAACCCACAACCTCCTGCATATCAAGCGAGGTAGTTAACATCTCCTAGCCACCGTGATGATGATGATCATGATGAGAGAGAGAGAGATGTAAACTCCAAATATACGCATGCTTACACAACGTGGGCTTGAACTCACACACCGCCGCATCAACCAACCATTTACCCCACTCGCCCGTCTCACCCACCCGCTTAGTCAATCAAATTGTTCACCCACGAATTCACTCGCTTGAAGAAGGAGGGACCTCAGGGGTAGCTCTTTCATATCCGCTTCCGCGGGTTCCGTTCTGAGCCAACCAGTGTCGCTTGAAGAAGAAGGGGGGTGGGGTCTCAGAGGTAGTTCTTTGATATCCACTTCCGCTGGTTCAGAGGTAGCGTGCGTCGGAAGTGACGAAGACGTCCACGTTTTTTTCTCTCCTTCAAAGTGGAGAGAGTGGAGTTTGTTGCGGTGGCAAATTGACCAAAGTTGACTTTTGTCCCCCCCCCCCATCTCGCTTTGCGTGCAGGAGAAACGAGTACTCCCAAGACAACAACTCAGCCAGGTGAGGCGACAATCTGTACCTGCCCTCCCCCCACACAACACCGCTCTGGCGCGTGCGTGTGTGTGTCATGTGTGTAAGCGTGCGTGTGTGTGTGTGTGTGTCATGTGTGCACGCGTGTGTGTGTGTACGTGTGTGTGTGAACACGTGTGTGTGTCATGTGTGTACGTGTGTGTACGTGTGTGAACACGTGTGTACGTGTGTGTGTGTGTGTGTCATGTGTGTACACGTGTGTGTGTGGGGGTGTCATGTGTACACGTGTGTGTGTGTCATGTGTGCACGTGTGTGAACACGTGTGTACGTGTGTGAACGCGTGTGTGTGTCATTTGTGTATGCGTGTGTGTGTGTCATGTGTGTGCACGCGTGTGTGCGTATGGGGAGCGGTGGTGCAGCTGTCAGCGTGCTGCGCTACGAACCGGTCCCTGGGCCTCCCCTAGGTCGACTCAGCCTCAAATGAGTACCTGGTGGAGCGGTGTGTAGTAAACATCGCCACTGGGGAGACAAAGGCGGCCGGGCGTGGTGCTGGCCACCCACCCCCTCGCGTGCCGTTAACAGCGCTTGCCCCAACAGTTTGTTGAGGCTATACGGGGGATCTTTGTCTTTGTGTGTACACATGTGTGGGGAGCGGTGGTGCAGCGGTTAGCGCTGCCGTGCTACGAACCCGCCGACCCGAGTTCGATTCCCGCTCACGGCCAACACCAACTGGTCCTGCTCCTGGGCCCTCCCCTAGGTCGACTCGGCCTCAAAACGTGCACCCGGCGCGGTGTGCGGTAAACATCGCCACCGGGGGAGACAGGCGGACGGGGCGTCGTGGTGCTGCGATGTTGACGTTGGGTTGTGTGTGTGTCCCTGGCGTGCAGGCAAAACGACCACCACCAAACAACCCCCGACAGGTGAGCCACGATCCAAAAACAAACAAACAACAAACAAACAACAACAATAACAACGTAGTAGTAGGTTTTTACCCTTTAAACTGGTACAAAACTGACACCTTTTATACGAGGCATCATGTTTGCAATAACCGCAACACAAGCAGTCAAAATGCAAACAAAAAGAAACAACTGTGATGATGATAATGATATGCACTGTCCTTGAAGTTGATTGGTCCACACCCGAGACAGCTTTCCTTAGAGCCTAGTCTCCATTGGTGTTGGACCAGATATTGCAAACATGATGCCTTGTATAAAGGTGTCAGTTTTGTACCAGTTTAAAGGGTAAAAACCTACTGCTATATTTTGCCACTGGTAAAGGAGATGTCTCATAGTGTAAACAATAACAACAACAATAACAACAATACCATCACCGGCTCCTGGAGAACTGCATTGTGGTCCCGTTGTGCCCGGGCGACCGTTGCTAAATGATGATTTGCTCGAGGACTCATCAGTGCAGTGTGGGTCACCAAATGCCAAGGCCCTGCCTCTGGGATGCGTGCCTAGCAAAGGTGGCCAGGGCGTGCGTGGTTGCTGGCCATCCACTCACCCACCCACTCAGCCACCCACTCAGCCACTCACCCACCCACCCACTCACCCAACCCACCTACCCACATCACCCACCCACCCACTCACCCACTCACCCACCCACTCACCCACCCCACTCACCCACCCACCCACCCACTCACCCATCCACTCACCCACCCACCGACCCACTCACCCACCCACCCACCCACCAACCCACCCACCCACTCACCCACCCACTCACCCACCCACTCACCCACCCACCCACCCACCCACCCACCCACCCCCCCCCACCCACCCACCCACCCCACACACCCACCCACCCACCCACACACCCACCCACCCACCCACTCACCCACTCACCCACCCACTCACCCACCCACTCACCCACCCACTCACCCACCCACCCACCCACTCACCCACCCACTCACCCACTCACCCACCCCACTCACCCACCCACTCACCCACTCACCCACCCACTCACCCACTCACCCACCCACCCACTCACTCACTCACCCACCCACCCACCCACCCACCCACACACCCACCCACCCACTCACCCACCCACCCACCCACCCACCCACCCCACCCACACACCCACCCACCCACCCACTCACCCACCCACTCACCCACTCACCCACCCACTCACCCACCCACTCACCCACTCACCCACCCACTCACCCACTCACCCACCCACCACATCACTCACTCACCCACCCACCCACCCACTCACCCACCCACCCACTGACTCACCCACCCACCCACTCACCCTCCCCCTCGTGTTGCCACAGTGCCGGCCGTCGTACGTGCTGCTGCTACCCGCTACGAACAGCACTTGACCCCAACAGGCTGTTAGTTCGATCTCACAGGCGAATCCGTAGATACGACACGCGGATACAAGATTATTCTTGCTGTTGATTCAATAGCATTGCTATTATAGCAGAAGGAAGTCGATTGTTCGATTGTGTGTGTTTAGGTTGTTGTCCTTCCCCTGCACCTCCCGATTAGCACGGCTGGCTACGTACGGTGCAGAAGAAGCTCAACACACACTCACATACACACACAGAGACACACACACAGAGACACACACACAGAGACACACACACAGAGAGACCCACACACAGACACACACACACAGACACACACACACACACACAGACACACACCGACACACACAGACACACACACACACAGACACACAGAGATACACACACACACACAGACACACACACACAGACAAACAGAGATACACACACACACAGACATACGTCAGGATGCCACGAAAGCCTCGCGGGCTATGTCCGCTATTGGGAAGTGCGACGGATTGTTGTTGTGGTTATTTTTGTTGTTGTTGTTATTGTTGTTGTTATTGTTGTTTTGTGCCAGCGCTTCGGAATTGACGTTGGGTTATTTGTATCCCTCGGCTCGTAGGCAAACCGACAACCCCCAAAGAACCCTCGACAGGTGAGTCACGATCCAAATACCAACAAACAACAAACTCACCCACCCACTCACCCACCCACTCACCCACTCACCCACCCACTCACCCACCCACCCACTCATCCACTCACCCACCCACTCACCCACCCACCCACTCACCCACCCACCACCACGCACTCACCCACTCACCCACCTAACCACCCACCCACTCACCGACCCACTCAGCCACCCACTCACCCACCCACTCACCCACCCACTCAGCCACCCACTCAGCCACCCACTCACCCACCCACTCACCCACCCACTCAGCCACCCACTCACCCACCCACCCACTCACTCACCCACCTACTCACCCACTCACCCACCCACTCACCCACCCACTCAGCCACCCACTCACCCACCCACTCAGCCACCCACTCACCCACCCACTCAGCCACCCACTCAGCCACCCACTCACCCACCCACTCACCCACCCACCCACTCACCCACCCACTCAGCCACCCACTCACCCACCCACTCACTCACCCACCTACTCACCCACCCACCCACCCACTCACCCACCCACCCACTCACCCATCCACTCAGCCACCCACCCACACACCCACTCACCCACTCACCCACTCACCCACCCACTCACTCACTCACCCACCCACTCACCCACTCACTCACCCACTCACTCACTCACTCACCCACCCACCCACCCACTCACCCACCCACTCACCCACCCATCCACCCACTCACCCACTCACTCACTCACCCACCCACCCACTCACCCACCCACTCACTCACTCACTCACCCACCCACTCACCCACTCACCCACCCACTCACCCACTCACTCACCCACCCACCCACTGACCCACTCACCCACCCACTCACCCACCCACTCACTCACCCACCCACCCACCACCTCGTGTTGCCACAGTGCCGGCCTTCATAGGGGGTGTTGCTACTCGCTAACAGCACTTGCCCCAGCAGTCCGTTGAATGCTATACGGGGAACCTTTGTCTTTGGTCGTGTGCCCTCACAGCCTTAACAGGTGCTCGCTAACAACACGCAAATGGTCGCAACGCTTAAATCTCCACGAAACATATCTAGAACGTGCAATCATCGTCATCTTGATCAGGGGATCAGCACGCAAAAATAACAAGAATTCGAAAAAAAAAAACACGCACTTGCCCCACCAGTCTGCCGAGGCTATACCGAGGGAACCTTTGCCTCTGTGCGTGTCTCGCTGCAGACGTTTGCTCGCTGGGCCAGAAGCAGTGCCACAACAGCAGCACGGCGTGTGTCTACGAGGAGCTCTTCTGCGATGGGAACGTGGACTGCTCAGAGGGCTCCGATGAGACGCCCACGGACTGCGGTACGCGCACACACACACGTGGCACACGAAAGAACCATTGGATGTGAATCCCTGCAGTCGCGAAAGTTGTTGCGAGTCAGTGGCTGCTTTAGTGTTAAAATATGGTGCTGTATTTTTAAATCCTTTATATTAAGTTCACTTGCTTGCTTGCTTGCGCGCTTACGACCGTGCAAATCTTTCGGTCGTTTTTTAACCCACTTCCCGTGATCCAATCGAGCTGACATTTTGCACACAGACTCGTTGTGCGTGACAATTTATTTTCGTGAAACATTTTTTCCTAAATTTTCCACTTTTTAGGGAATTTTTTTTTCATATTTAATTTAAAATACCAATGTGATAAAAATGAAACTCTTACTCAAGAAAAACAGAAATGAATAATAACATAAAACCGATGCCACGCATATAAAGGATTTATAGTGAAAATCTTAGTTTTCACGGGTTAATTTTTAGGATAGTGTGTTTATAATATAATTTCATGTAGATATCCACATTGATTGAATATTTTTCTTCCGCAGTTTTTATTGAACACGCAATATTTGATATCTCAAAAACCTGATGTGATAGACAAAAACTGATGCCAGATTTGGAATCGGCACTCCAAAATTACCTTAAACCCGTTGGAATACCTTATGCCAGACAAAAGTGTGTTGACCAGTGTCATTTACCACTTCCATCAGCGCCTCTTCCCCCCGCATTTGTCTCAGTCACGGTGTTGGTAAGCCCACAAGCTGCTAAACCCTAGTAGCCCAAAATTAGTTAAAAAATAAGTATAACCCGTAAAAACTAAGTTTTTCACTATAAATCCGTTATATGCGTGGCAGCGAACTTAATATAAAGGATTTAAAAATATATTCGCCTGTGGAGGACGCGGGGATCGATCCCGCGACCTTTGGCATGGGAAGCGAGGGCGCTACCAACTGCGCTACTCCGCCACGGCCTGTGGAGGGGTTACGCTCTGGGCTCTTGTACTGTGACGTTCAGCCAAAGCCATGAATGAGTTCTATTTGAATATATGTAAAATAAAAAAATTTGCCTAAAAAGTGTAAAATTTGGGGAATTTTTTTTCAAGAACATTAATTGTCACGCACAACGAGTCTGTGTGGAAAATGTCAGCTCGATTGGATCACGGGAAGTGGGTTAAAAAACGACCGAAAGATTTGCACAGTCGTAAGCAAGCAAGCAAGCACGCAAGCAAGCAAGCAAGCGAACTTAATATAAAGGATTTAACAAAGGTCTCTGGAGAGTTCTTCTTGGTTCTTTCGGTAAAGTCACGTAGAAGGGGAATAATAAAAATGAAATAATAAAATAATCAAACATAATAAAATACATACTCTTAGTTTTTTCGGTAAAGTCACGTGGGTAAAAAAATTAAATTAAAATTAATAAAAGTGATAATAGAAATAAAATAATACATTTCTATTATTAATTTTATAAATTTTAATTTAATTTTTTTTACCCGCGTGACTTTACCGAAAAACACTAAGGGCATGAATCCTTGCAAGTCACGAAAGCTTCAAATCTAGAAATAATAAAATACAATTCTCACGACGTTTCGGCCACAACGCAAGCAGCCGTCGTCAGGTGAAGACAAGGTCTGTCGGAAAGACAGCGTCTTTCACATCAACATCATCAACATCATCAATATCATCATCAACATCATCATCATCAACATCATCATCAACATCATCAACATCATCATCTTTTTTTTTCGATTTAAAGCTTTCGTGACTGCAGGGATTCATCTTCTTGGTTCTTTCGGTAAAGTTACGTAGAAGAGAAATGATAAAATAATAAAAATAATAAAATAATTCTCACGACGTTTCGGCCACACCGCAAACAGCCGTCCTCGGATGAAGAACAGCGTCTGTCAGAAAAACAGCGTCTGAATTTCAAAGTCATCGCTTTCTTGTTGTTGTTCTTGTTCTTGTTGTTGTTCTCCGTGTGTTTGTTTGTTTGTTTGGCCGCCTGCAGCCTTCTGCCCGCTGCTGTTCACGTGCGGGGACCGCTCGTGCGTGCCCTCGTTCCGCGTCTGCGACGGCAAAGACGACTGCGCCGACGGGAAGGACGAGCAGGGCTGTGTCCACCTGGCACTGGGGGAGTCACACAGGTACCTGGGGGGTAGGAGAGGTAGGGGTACGTGGGGGGGGGGGGGGGGTAGGGGGGTACAGGGCTGTGTCCACCTGGCACTGGGGGAGTCACACAGGTACCTGGGGGGTAGGGGGGGTAGGGGGGTACAGGGCTGTGTCCACCTGGCACTGGGGGAGTCACACAGGTACCTGGGGGGGTAGGGGGTACGTGGGGGGGGGGGGGGTAGGGGTACGTGGGGGGGGGGGGTAGGGGGGGTAGGGGGCTACAGGGCTGTGTCCACCTGGCACTGGGGGAGTCACACAGGTACCTGGGGGGTAGGGGGGGTAGGGGGGGTAGGGGGGCTACAGGGCTGTGTCCACCTGACGATGGGGGAGTCGCACAGGTACCTGGGGGGTAGGGGGGGTAGGGGGTACGTGGGAGGGGGGTAGGGGGGCTACAGGGCTGTGTCCACCTGGCACTGGGGGAGTCACACAGGTACCTGGGGGGGGGTAGGGGTACGTGGGGGGGGGTAGGAGGGGGGTAGGGGGGTAGGGGGTACGTGGGGGGGGGGGGGACGCGTGCGCAGGAGCACGGAGAGAGCGGCGCGGGTGTTTGAACTTCTTCTGCGCCGTACGTAGCCAACGGTGATTCTCACGGGGGTCACGTGCACGGAGACTCTCACGGCACTTGCCTCACACGAGGGGGACCCTTTGTCCTTTGTGGTGTGTGTCTGTGTGTCTGTGTGTGTCTGTGTGTGTGTGTCTGTGTCTGTGTGTGTGTCTGTGTGTGTCTGTGTGTGTGTCTGTGTGTGTGTGTCTGTGTGTGTGTCTGTGTGTGTGTGTCTGTGTGTCTGTGTGTTGTGTGTCTGTGTGTGTCTGTGTGTCTGTGTGTGTGTGTCTGTGTGTGTCTGTGTGTCTGTGTGTGTGCTGTGTGTGTGTGTCTGTGTGTGTGTGTGTGTCTGTGTGTGTGTGTCTGTGTGTGTGTGTCTGTGTGTGTGTCTGTGTGTGGTGTCTGTGTGTGTGTGTCTGTGTGTGTGTCTGTGGTCTGTCTGTGTGTGTGTGTGTGTGTGTGTCTGTGTGTGTGTCTGTGTGTCTGTGTGTGTGTCTGTGTGTGTGTCTGTGTGTGTGTCTGTGTGTGTGTGTGTGTCTGTGTGTGTGTCTGTGTGTGTGTCTGTGTGTGCAGCCTGCAGCTGTCTAGCGGCACGGTGGACGTGAGCGTGGCGGCGTCGTTCCACGCGGCCTGCGCCGACAACTGGAACGGTCACCTGTCCGTCGCCGTGTGTCGCCAGGTCAGCCAGGGGTGAGTACAAAGGGGCCGTCCATAAATGACGTCACGCACCTGGGGGCGGGGGGGGGGTCAGACATTTGTGACGATGTGTGACGAGGGGGGGGGGGGTTGAGATATGTGACGTCACATCAAAATGTTTTCTCCTACAACATCAGAGTGCAGCGCCACATTTTTTGGGAGGGGGGGCTAGAGCTTTGTGACGTCATATTTGAGGGGGGGGGGGGTCTGACTTTTAGTGACGTCGTGTGACGAAGGGGGGGGGGGGTCAAAATCGTAAAAAATCGTCAAAAATCGATGACGTCATTTATGGACGGCCCCAAAGGCAAAGGTACCCCCTCCCCCCATCCCATATAGCAGGAGCGGAGAACCTTGGTTCTGCCAAGGGCAATTTGGATATTTATACAACATCATTCGCTGGGCCATGTAAAATGTTCAACTTAAAAATCAGCCCGTTGTTATATTTGGTCGAACATTGAATTCGCTCACCCCTAACGCGATGGGCTGGAACTGCTTCTCTTTGGCGAGGCGTGTGATGATGTTAGCTGCTGGCTATTGATGATGATGTCGCTACCCGCAACTGCTTTGCCAGGTTTGCTCCGAGATGTATTGAATTTCGAGTCCCGTTGCGGTTGGGGCACTCGGTTTGAGGCCGAGCCGACCTAGGGGAGAGGCCCAGGGACCGGTTCGGATGACGAATCGTCGCCGGCGGTGTTGGTGGCCGTGAGCGGGAATCGAACTCGTCGCGCGGCTGTGTGCTAACCGCTGCGCCACCGCTCCCCTATTATTTGTGGATGATGCGGTGACCACCGGCTTTGTTCGATGGCCAGCCGCAAGCCGCCGCCGCTTCGAGGATGATCACCAGAATTCACGACGACGACGACGACGACGACAACCTTCTTGGTTCTTTCGGTAAAGTCATCACGTAGAAGGGAAGTAACAAAATAATAAAAATAAAACATAATGAAATACTATTCTCACGACGTTTCGGCCACAACGCAAGCAGCCGTCCGCAGGTGAAAACCAGATCTGTCGAGGCGACAGCGTCTGAATGAAACAGCACCATGCTTGGAGCATATATATAAGCTGGGTTGGAAAGGGGGGAAAGGGCGCCTTGACAAAAGAATATGCATATCAAGAGGCATTTAGCATATTTATGGGAAATGCAGGTATGTGATTAGTACTACTCATGCTCGTGCATTTCTCATAAATATGCTTATGCCTCTTGATATGCATATTCTTTTGTCAAGGCGCTCTTTTCCCCCCTTCCAACCCAGCTTATATACATGCTCCAAGCACGTGTGCTGTTTCATTCAGACGCTGTCGCCTCGACAGACCTGGTCTTCACCTGAGGACGGCTGCTTGCGTTGTGGCCGAAACGTCGTGAGAATTATTTTATTATGTTTTATTTTTATTATTTTATTACTTCCCTTCTACGTGACTTACCGAAAGAACCAAGAAGATGAATCCCTGCAGTCACGAAAGCTTTAAATCGAAAGATGACGACAATGACGATGCTTTACCCTTCTTGCCAGGCCGCAAGTGTCACCGCTGCAGCCCCCCCCCCCCCCCCCAATTAACGCGCTCTGAAGCGGGGGCCCACTGGCCGTGCGAGCGTCTGCCGCTAGCCGGCGCGGTTATCACCGGCACGGTTATCGCCGGCGCGGTTTTCCACTCGCGTGCCGTGCCGTGCCGTGCCACAGGCCCCCGAAGTACGCGACGTCGGTGCTGGCCTCCGACTACGCCTACACGAGCTTCGCTCTCGTCATCAACGCGCCGGACAACCCCGTCGACTACCTCCAGGTGACGCGTGGACGGTGCAGCAGACATTTGGGGGGGGGGGTCAGACATTTGTGACGATGTGTGACGAGGAAGGGGTTGGGGGGGGAGGGTGAGAAATGTGACGTCGCATCAAAATGCGCAGATTTAAATCAATATAGACAACACGTTCTACTTAATTAAATAGACTTTTTGATTAATGTTTTTTCCTACATCAGAGTGCAGCGGGACATTAAATACGCACTACAATGACAATAGTTTAAAGCGATTTGAAGCATGGTTTATATTTTTGGGAGGGGGCAGAGCTTTGTGACGTCATATTTGAGGGGAGGTCCTGACTTTTTGTGACGTCGTGTGACGAAGTGGGGGGGGGGGGGGGGGGGAATCGTCAAAAATTGAAGAAAAGGAACGACTCAAGGTGGTATAAATCGCAGAGAAGACCAGAGAAAGGGAGAAAAAAACATTACAAAAATTACATAGAAAACAAGGAGGGAGCATAGAATGGAGTAAGGAGAGAGGGGGTAGAAAGAGAGAGGGGGGGTAGAGAGAGGCGGTAGAGAGAGAGGGGGGGTAGAGAGAAAGGTGGGGTAGAGAGAGAGGGGGGTAGAGAGTGGTATAGAGAGGGGGGAAGGGTAAGAACGAGGAGATCAGAGCGTGAAATCTTTCATTTAAAACAGGGGGTGGGGGGGCACATAAAGCAAAGCATTGGGGGAAAAAAACCCGAAACGATGAACGAAGCAAAGTGCCAACTACACCGAGCATCTTCTTGATTCCTCCGATCGTAAACAAAGGAGAGAAAAGGCTGTGTGGGTGTGATTCGGTCGTGTGGAGAGACAGCAAGACAGTGACGTGGGTCAGAAGGTGGGCGAGTGACGTGAGTGGTAAGGAAAGGGATGGAGAAGGAAGGCCGAAGGAGAGGTGCGGGGGGGGGGGGGGCGATGTAGTGCGATCGGTCCACGATGGCCCTAGGAGCGGAAAGAAAGAATGGCGCAGGACATGGCAGCGTGGAGAATCTGGCAAGATCAGCGGAACACCTCCACACGAGTGGGACAAAAGCGTGGAAGAAGGCGGAGGAAGGAGAGGTGGGGGGGGGGGGGGGCGATGTAGTGCGATCGGTCCACGTTGGCCCTAGGAGCGGAGAGAAAGAATGGCGCAGGACAGGGCAGCGTGGAGAAGCTGGCAAGAAAAGCGGAACACCTTCACACGAGTGGGACAAAAGCGTGGAAGAAGGCGGAGGAAGAAGAGGTGGGGGGGGGGGGGGCGATGTAGTGCGATCGGCCCACGGTGGCCCTAGGAGGGGAAAGAAAGAATGGCGTAGGACAGGGCAGCGTGGAGAAGGTTCGCAAGAACAGCGGAACACCTCCACACGAGTGGGACAAAAGCGTGGAAGAAGGCGGATGAAGAAGAGGTGGGGGGGGGGGGCGATGTAGTGCGATCGGCCCACGGTGGCCCTAGGAGCAGAAAGAAAGAATGGCGCAGGACATGGCAGCGTGCAGAAGCTTCGCAAGAACAGCGGAAGACCTCCACATGAGTGGGACAAAAGCGTGGAAGAAGACGGAGTTCGATGCCCCGTTGTATTTGATGCGTAATGTACGCAAGCTATCTACTATGGTTATGGTTGTAGTTGATTAATCCCGAATCTCTGCCATTACATACAATGAAACAAGAAAAGGTAAACAAAGAAAAAACAGAGCAATGTAATAGAATACACTATTAGACAGCATATTCTTGGTTCTTTCGGTGAAGTCACATAGAAGGGAAATAATAAAACAATAAAAATAAAACATAATAAAATGAAATTCTCACGACGTTTCGGCCACAACGCAAGCAGCCGTCCTCAGGTGAAGAACGTTAATGTAAAAAAATAATTAAAAAGTCCATCCTATGTGTTAGTGAATTTTTTAGTATTTTAGGCAGGAAATGGCAGGAAATTAGTTTTCAAATTGAGATTTTTTTTCTGGGAGTGGGGGACCCCCAGGAAGATTTGCTCCCCCCAATGTTGTCTCCATGGCTACGGCCTTGCTGTATGGGACCCATTTTTATGTGTGCCAGTATCAAGATGCTATTTGCGTTGTCCTTTGCCCAGTTCGCCTGGTGGAGGCCCAATCAGTTTCAAGGACAAAGCTTACGCATTGTTATCAGGGCGTCTTTGTTGCATGAGTTTATGGCTGCGATGATGATTCGCCCACTTAGTCGAACTATCGTTTGCTAGAGTCGGCTCGCTTTTGACAAAATAGCTGGACAGCTCAGTGTGGTAGGGCCTTACCTGGTTAAGTACGAATTGTTTAAAATGTGGGACCTTTCTTTGCCGGCATCAAAAGATAACAATGGGGTTTACCCTGTCTGCCCATAGTAAAACAGTTTTGTTTAGATGTTAAACCACCAAACATAATCTTTTTTTCAAGGAATCTTGTTTGCATTAACCACAGAGACCCATAGAGACCCACAGAGACCCATAGACTCACAGAGACACCCATAGCATGGTTGGGTACGTACCGTATGAAAGAAGTTCAACATCCATGCGTAGAGATCCACAGACACCCAGACCCACAGAAACCCATCGAAAACCCACGCACGGGTGGCTACGTATGGTGTGAAAGAAGTTCAACACACAGATGAACACGATAATCGCGTAAATATATAAATGTGTCGTTAAACCCGACACCACCCGACAAGGCCAAATAGCAAATGTCGTGTCCCGTAAACAGTACGTGTTCAGCACAACCGGTTGTGTGTATGGGAGCAGAAGACCCACAAGGCTTCCTCCTCCTCCCGTGTCGAGCAAAAAAAAAAAAATCAGTTTTCCTAACTGCCCCAAACGCCGCACGGGCGGATTTCTCGTCGGCAGAGCGCCATCGGTGCCGTGACCACCAAGTGTCCGAGCGAGAGGCTCATCTTCGTGGCGTGCGAGCCAATGAGTGCGGCCTGCAGCCAGCCCTGCAGCCAGCGGTGTCGCGTCGTCAGTGAGTGGCACTCACTCACTCATAGTCACTCACTCATAGTCACTCACTCGCTCACTCACTCACACACTCACTCGCTCACTCGCTCAGACTCATTCACTCATACTCACTCACACTCAGACTCACTCACTCACTCAGACTCGCTCACTCAGACTGACTCACTCACTCAGACTCACTCACTGATCTTCGTGGCGTGCGAGCCCAATGAGTGCGGCCTGCAGCCAGCCCTGCAGCCAGCGGGTCGCATCGTCAGTGAGTGGCACTCACTCATAGTCACTCACTCACTCGCTCGCTCAGACTCACTCACTCATACTCACTCACTCATACTGACTCACTCAGACTCATTCACACAGACTCACTCATAGTCACTCACTCACTCAGACTCACTCACTCACTGATCTTCGTGGCGTGCGAGCCCAATGAGTACGGCCTGCAGCCAGCCCTACAGCCAGCGGGTCGCATCGTCAGTGAGTGGCACTCACTCATACTCACTCACTCATAGTTACTCATAGTCACTCACCTCGCTCGCTCGCTCAGACTCACTCACTCATACTCACTCACTCACTGATCTTCGTGGCGTGCGAGCCCAATGAGTGCGGCCTGCAGCCAGCCCTACAGCCAGCGGGTCGCATCGTCAGTGAGTGGCACTCACTACTCATAGTCACTCACTCATAGTCACTCATAGTCACTCATAGTCACTCACCCAGACTCATTCACTCGCTCACTCAGACTCACTCATACTCACTCACTCATACTCACTCGCTCACTCACTCAGACTCATTCACTCAGACTCACTCACTCGCTCACTCACTCATACTCACTCACTCACTTGCTCAGACTCACTCACTCAGACTCCTCACTCAGACTCACTCACTCAGACTCACTCACTCAGACTCACTCACTCACTCATACTCACTCATACTCACACAATCACTCACACTCACTTACTCATACTCACTCATACACACTCACTCAGACTCACTCATACTCACTCACTCATACACACTCACTCACTCACCTCGCTCACTCACTCACTCATACACACTCACTCATACACACTCGCCTGCTCACTCACTCACTCACGCTCGCTCGCTCGCTAACGCTCATGCACTCGCTCGCTCAACTCTGCGTGCGCGCGACCCAGACGGAGAGCCGGCGCAGGCGGGCAGCTGGCCTTGGATGGCGTCGCTCTCCGTGGCACGGAGGCATCGGTGCGGCGCCTCGACTCATCAACAACGAGTGGCTGGTCACGGCCGCTCACTGCATCGTCAACACGTGAGTCGTCCTTGGTTTTTTACGATCAGTGGAAACAAGAAGATGCTCGGTGTAGTCGGCACTTTGCTTCGTTCATCATTTCGTAATTTTTTTTTTAATAATAACTTTGCTTTATGTAAACCCCCACCTCTCGCTCACTCTCTCGCTCACTCTCTCGCTCACTCTCTCGCTCTCTCTCTCGCTCACTCTCTCGCTCTCTCGCTCACTCTCTCGCTCACAATCTCGCTCACTCGCTCGCTCACTCTCTCGCTCTCTCTCTCGCTCACTCGCTCGCTCACTCACTCGCTCACTCTCTCGCTCACTCGCTCGCTCACTCTCTCGCTCTCTCTCTCACTCATTCGCTCGCTCGCTCGCTCTCTCGCTCGCTCTCTCGCTCACTCGCTCTCTCGCTCACTCGCTCACTCGCTCACTCTCGCTCACAATCTCGCTCACTCGCTCGCTCACTCTCTCGCTCGTCATCCTCCTCGTCAAGGGCCCGCAATGCCCTTGACGCTCCGGTGGTCCCAGTTCGACGCTTAACTCTGCGTGAAGGACCCCCTCACCATGATAACTTCTCCCGCCCCCCTCCCTTCCCCCCTCCCTTCTCCCCTCCCCCCCTCTCTCCCTCCTCCCTCCCCCCTCCAGTGACCCCAACTCCCTGCAGGTGGTGCTTGGCTCGCTGGCCACGGTGGCGGGCAGCATCCCGGCGGGCGCCGTGGTGCGGTCGGTGCGCGCCCTGCTGCCCCACCCGTGCTACGGGGACGCCGCGTGCAGCCCCACGGCCGTGGACTACGACGTGGGCCTCGTGCGCCTCGCCAGCCCCCTCGAGGGCAGCGTCACGGTCAGCGACGCAGGGACCCACCGCTGCCACCAGCTGACACCCACCCACCCTTCACTTCTATCGCTTCCCTCACTCACTCACTCGCTCGCTCACTCACTCACTCACTCGCTCACTCACTCACTCACCCACCCTCCACTTTTATCGTCCCTCACTCACTCACTCGCTCACTCACTCACTCAGTCACTCACTCACTCACTCACCCACCCTCCACTTTTATCGTCCCTCACTCGCTCGCTCACTCACTCAATCACTCGCTCACTCACTCACTCAGTCACTCACTCACTCACCCACCCTCCACTTTTATCGTCCCTCCCTCACTCACTCGCTCACTCACTCACTCAGTCACGCGCTCACTCACTCAGTCACTCGCCTCACCCACCCACCCTCCACTTCTATCGATTTCCTCACTTACTCGCTCACTCACTCACTCAGTCACTCGCTCACTCGCTCACTCACGCGCTCACGCGCTCACTCACTCGCTCACTCACCCACCCTCCACTTCTATCGTCCCTCACTCACTCACTCGCTCACTCACTCACTCACTCACTCACTCACTCGCTCACTCACTCACTCACTCACTCACTCGCTCACTCACTCACTCACTCACTCACGCGCTCACTCACTCAGTCACTCGCTCACTCGCTCGCTCACTCAGTCCACGCGCTCACTCACTCACTCACGCGCTCACTCACTCAGTCACTCACTCACTCGCCTCGCTCCCTCAGTCACGCGCTCACTCACCCCACCCTCCACTTCTATCGTCCCTCACTCACTCACTCGCTCACTCACTCACTCACTCGCTCACTCACTCGCTCACTCACTCAGTCACTCACTCACTCGCTCGCTCACTCAGGCACGCGCTCACTCACTCACTCACGCGCTCCCTCACTCAGTCACTCACTCACTCGCTCGCTCACTCAGTCACGCGCTCACTCACCCCACCCTCCACTTCTATCGTCCCTCACTCACTCACTCGCTCACTCACTCACTCACTCACGCGCTCACATCACTCAGTCACTCACTCGCTCGCTCACTCAGTCACGCGCTCACTCACCCACCCTCCACTTCTATCGTCCCTCACTCACTCACTCGCTCACTCACTCACTCACTCACGCGCTCACTCACTCAGTCACTCACTCACTCGCTCGCTCACTCAGTCACGCGCTCACTCACCCACCCTCCACTTCTATCGTCCCTCACTCACTCACTCGCTCACTCACTCACTCACGCGCTCACTCACTCAGTCACTCACTCACTTGCTCGCTCACTCAGTCACGCGCTCACTCACTCACGCGCTCACTCACTCACTCACGCGCTCACTCACTCAGTCACTCACTCACTCGCTCGCTCACTCACTCAGTCACTCGCTCACTCACGCGCTCACTCACTCAGTCACTCGCTCACTCACCGCGCTCACTCACCCACCCTCCACTTCTATCGTCCCTCACTCACTCACTCGCTCACATCACTCAGTCACTCACCCACCCTCCACTTATATCGTCCCTCACTCACTCACTCGCTCACTCACTCACTCACTCGCTCACTCACTCAGTCACTCGCTCACTCACTCGCTCACCCACCCTCCACTTCTATCGTCCCTCACTCACTCACTCGCTCACTCACTCACTCACCGCGCTCACTCACTCACTCACTCGCTCACTCACCCTCCACTTCTATCGTCCCTCACTCACTCACTCACTCGCTCACTCACTCACTCACTCGCTCACTCACTCACTCACTCACTCGCTCACTCACTCACTCACTCGCTCACTCACTCACTCACTCGCTCACTCACTCAGTCACTCACTCACTCACTCGCTCACCCACCCTCCACTTCTATCGTCCCTCACTCACTCACTCACTCGCTCACTCACTCACTCACTCGCTCACTCACTCACTCACTCGCTCACTCACTCACTCACTCACGCGCTCACTCACCCAGTCACTCGCTCACCCACCCTCCACTTCTATCGATTCCCTTCCTCCCTCCCTCTCTCTCTCGTCTCCCTCTTCTTCCATCACTCCCTTCCTTTCTTACTCGTTTAGCGAACACCGTCGTCGTGTTGTTGTTGTTAAACTCGGCTAAGCGATTAGCGTTGATTCGTTTGCACTCACGTGCTCACGAGCTGGGTACGGGTACCCGTTTGCGACCCTGGTGCGGCCGGGTACGGGTAAGGAATCAAAACCCGTTTGCGACCTCTGCTACCCGGGTGACCTTTGTCTGTGTGCCGTGTGCCGGTGAAGGTTACCCGGGTGACCTTTGTCTGTGTGCCGGTGAAGGCTACCCGGGTGACCTTTGTCTGTGTGCCGTGTGCCGGTGAAGGCCTCGGGCCTGGTGGGGCCGGCGTGCGTCCCCCCAGGCGACTTGGTCTTCAACGACGGCGAGCTGTGCTTCACCTCCGGCTGGGGCAAGGACGGCGCCGGTAGGTTGGTGGTGGTGGTGGTTGTGGTTGTGGTGGTGGTGGTGGTTGTGGTGGCGGTGGTGGTGGTGGTTGTGGTGGCGGTGGCTGTGCTTCACCTTCGGCTGGGGCAAGGACGGCGCCGGTAGGTTGGTGGTGGTGGCGGTGGTTGTGGTGGTGGCGGTGGTGGCGGTGGTTGTGGCGGCGGTGGTTGTGGTGGTGGTGGCGGTGGTGGTTGTGGTGGCGGTGGCTGTGGCGGTGGTGGCGGTGGTTGTGGTTGTGTTGGCAGTGGTGGCTGTGTTGGCAGTGGCGGCGTTGGGTGGCGGTGGTTTCGGTAGTGGTAGCGGTGGAGGCGGTGGTGGCGGTGGTGGCGTGGCATGCATGGACGCAGCAGCGAGGGTTGCCGGTCACGCGGACAATGCCCACAGAGTCGCTGCAACGGCGCGAGTGAGTGGACCCCCCCTGATGTGTGCGTGTGCTGCAGGCGCACTGCCCAGCGTTCTGCAGGAGCTGCGCATCCCCATCATGAACCAGCAGCTGTGCAACGAGTCGATCCACGTGGGGAAGGTGTCGCCCAGGATGATCTGCGCCGCCTACAAGGCCGGGCACGCCGGCGTGTGCTCCGTGAGTACCCACTCGCTCGCCCGCTTGATCAATCGCTTGCTCACTCGCTCGGCCACTCGCTCACTTGCCCACCCACCCACTCAATCGCCCCTCATTCACCCACTCGCTCGCCCACTCAGCCGCTCGCCCGCTAACTCACCCTGTCACTCAACCACCCACTCAATTGGTCACTCACCCGCTTACTCGCCCACTCATTCACCCACTCGCTCGCCCACTCAGCCGCTCGCCCGCTCACTCACCCTGTCACTCAAACACCCATTCAATTGGTCACTCACCCGCTTACTCGCCCACTCATTCACCCACTCGCTCGCCCACTCAGCCGCTCGCCTGCTCACTCACCCTATCACTCAACCACCCACTCAATTGGTCACCCACCAACTAAATCGCCCCCTCATTCACCCATTCGGCCACCCACTTTCTCACCCTATCACTCAACCACCTGCTCACTCGCCCACTCATTCACCCACTCGCTAGCCCACTCACTCACCCTGTCACTCAACCACCCACTCAATTGGTCACTCACTCGCTCGCTCGCCCACCCACCCACTCAATCGCCCCCTCATTCACCCACTCGCTCGCTCGCCCACTCGGCCACACGCTCGCCCGCCCACCCGCCCGAGGGATGGAGCCGTCTCCCTGTCCTGGCTGCAGGGAGACAGTGGCGGACCGCTGGTGTGCCAGCGCTTCGACGGGCGCTGGTACCTGGCCGGCATCACCAGCTGGGGCTTGGTCGACTCGGAGGGGCGCTGCTCCGTCAACTACGACGTCTTCGCACGCGTCACCTCCTTCTCCTCCTGGATCGAGTCCATCCAATCGCAGGGTACCAACACCACCACCACTACCGCTGCCACCACCATCACCGCCACCACCACCACCATCGCCACCACCGCTGCCACCGCCACCACCACCGCCACCACCACCGCCGTCACCACCACCGCCGTCACCATCGCCGCCGCCACCTTCGCCACCACAACCGTCACCGCCACCACCACCACCACCATCACCACCACCGCCACCACCATCGCCACCGCCAGCACCACCTTCGCCACCACCACCAACGTCATCCTTCTCTGCCAGCCCCCCTCCCTTAGCCCTCCCTCCTTCCGTTCTCCCTCCCTCCACCCCTCCCCCCTCCCGACGATGACAATGATGTCGACGATCATCATCGTCCTCGTCATCATCATGATGGACACCATCGTCATCGTCGTCATCATCTTCATCATCGTTGTCATCATCATCGTCGTCTTTATCATCGACTTCATCGTCATCATTATCGACATCATCGTCATCGTCAATGACATCATCGTCATCATTATCGACATCATCGTCATCGTCATCATCATCGTCATCGACATCATCGTAATCATTATCGACATCATTGTCATCATCATCGACATCATCGTCATCATCATCGACATCATCGTCATCGACATCATCGTCATCATTATCGACATCATCATCTCTCCCCCCCTCGTCCGCTCCCCCCCCCCCGCCCCTCCGTAGCGGTGTGCGGTGCCGGCGAGCTGTCGTGCGACGCGGTGTCGTGCGTGCGTCGCCGCGCGATCTGCGACGGCGTGGAGAACTGCGCCGACAAGACCGACGAGGCCAACTGCGGTGAGACACGCCGGCGTGGGAAGACGTGGGCGCAGAGAGAGAGAGATGAGATGGACACAGGGAGAGAGAGAGATGGACACAGGGAGAGATGGGCACACAGAGAGAGATGGGCATACAGAGAGAGATGGGCACACAGAGAGAGATGGGCACACAGAGAGAGATGGGCACACAGAGAGAGATGGGCACACAGAGAGAGATGGGCACACAGAGAGAGAGAGATGGGCACACACAGAGAGAGAGTTGAGATTTGATGGTTGAGTGTGTGGGTGTGAGTGGGCAAGTGGTTGAGTGAGTGCGTGTGTGTGCGAGTAGGTCAGTGAGTGAATGAGTGGGCGAGTGAGTGAGTGTGTGGGTGGGTGGGTGGGAGAGTGGGTGGGCCAGTGTGTGTGGTGTGTGGTTGAGTAACTGTGAGTGTGGGCGAGTGGGAAAGTGGGCGAGTGGGTTGGTGAGTGGGCGAGTGAGTGGGTTTGAGTGAGCGTGTGTGTGTGGGCGAGTGGGGAGAGTGGTGGAGATGAGACGGTGGATGAGTGAGTGGGTTTGAGTGAGCATGTGTATGTGTGGACGAGTGGGGAAAGTGGTTGAGATGAGAGGGTGGATGACTGAGTGGATGAGCGAGCGAGCGAGCCAGTGGGCTTTAGTCGATGAGAAATCAACTCCCCGATTCCTCTGATTCTGGTTCGGGGTGCGTTCAGCTTCGGGCTGCGATGACAATTTCCTCTTCACGGAGACGTCGGGAGAGTTCCACTCCATCAACTACCCCCAGAACTACGAGGACAACACGAACTGCCGATGGATCATTCAGTGAGTCGCCGTCGTCGTCATCATCGTCGTCGTCATCATCAGAATTAACGTCGGTGTCCATGCCGTCGGTGTCTCTCTCCGTGTCTCTCTGCGTGTCTCTCGCCGTGTCTCTTGCCGTATCACTCGCCGTGTCTCTCACCGTGTCTCTCTCCGTGTCTCTCACCGTGTCTGTCACCGTGTCTCCAACCGTGTCTCTCTCCGTGTCTCTCACCGTGTCTCTCGCCGTGTCTCTTGCCGTATCACTCGCCGTGTCTCTCACCGTGTCTCTCTCCGTGTCTCTCACCGTGTCACTCACCGTGTCTCTCTCCGTGTCTCTCTCCGTGTCTCTCACCGTGTCTCTCACCGTGTCTCTCTCACCGTGTCTCACCGTGTCTCTCACCGTGTCTCTCACCATGTCACCGTGTCTCTCTCCGTGTCACTCACCGTGTCACTCACCATGTCACGTGTCCCTCACTGTCACGTCCCAGGGCCCCCCAAGGTCACGCCATCGACTTCACGTTCTCCGCCTTCAGCGTGGAGTTCAACTACGACTTCCTGCGCATCTACAGCGGACTCGGAGAGGACATGCTGCTGAGAGGTGAGTGGCCGTGGTAGAGGTGGTGGTGCTGGTGGTGGTGATGGTGGCGGTGGTGGCGGTCGTGGTGGTGGTGGTGATGGTGGTGACGGTGGTGGTGGTGATGGTGGTGGTGACGGTGGTGGTGGTGGTGACGGTGGTGGTGGAGATGGTTGTGGTGGTGACGGTGGTGACGGTGGCGCTGGTGGCGGTGGTGGTGGTGCTGATGGTGGCGGTGGTGACGGTGGTGGTGGTGGTGTTGGTGGTGACGGTGGTGACGGTGGTGGTGACGGTGGTGGTGGTGATGGTTGTGGTGGTGGTGGTGCTGGTAGTGGTGACGGTGGTGATAGTGGTGGTGGTGATGTTTGCTGCTGTTGCTTGTGCTGGCGATCACAAGGGTCACGACGGACGTGGCGTTCCGGGTTGCGCCGGGGCCTGGGGAGAACCTGGTCATAACCGGCCATTAACAATTGTCCACCCCCCCTCTTCCTCCTCCCCCCTCCCTCCTCCCCCCTCCCTCCTCCCCCCTCCCTCCTCCCCCCTCCCTCCTCCCCCCTCCCCCCACTCAGCTTCGCTCACGGGAACCGAGAACCCCGGTTTGGTGCGACTCTTCTCCAACGTGGCCACCGTCGAGTTCTCGAGTGACGTCAGCCTCAACAGCAGCGGATTCGCCGCTCGCTACAGCTCCTTCTTCTTCGGAGACCTCTCCAGTACGACGCCATCATCATCACCGTTACCATCGTCGTCACCGTTACCATCGTCGTCATGATTGCCGTCATCGTCACGATCGCCATCATCATCATCGTCACGATCGTCATCATCAACATCATCATCGTCGTCACCGTCGTCACCGTCGTCACCGTTACCATTGTCGTCATGATTGCCGTCATCGTCACGATCGCCATCATCATCGTCACGATCGTCATCATCAACATCATCATCATCGTCGTCACCGTCGTCACCGTCGTCACCGTTACCATCGTCGTCATGATTGCCGTCATCGTCACGATCGCCATCATCATCATCGTCACGATCGTCATCATCAACATCATCATCGTCGTCACCGTCGTCACTGTCGTCACCGTTACCATCGTCGTCATGATTGCCGTCATCGTCACGATCGCCATCATCATCATCGTCACGATCGTCATCATCAACATCATCATCATCATCGTCGTCACCGTCGTCACCGTCGTCACCGTTACCATCGTCGTCATGATTGCCGTCATCGTCACGATCGCCATCATCATCATCGTCACGGTCGTCATCATCAACGTCGTCATCATCGTCGTCATCACCGTCATCACCGTCGTCACCGTTACCATCGTCGTCATGGTCTCGATCGTCATCATCAACGTCGTCATCGTCGTAATCATCGTCGTCGTCACCGTCGTCACTGTCGTCACCGTTACCATCGTCGTCATGATTGCCGTCATCGTCACGATCGTCATCATCAACATCATCATCATCATCGTCATCGTCGTCACCGTTACCATCGTCGTCATGATTGCCGTCATCGTCACGATCGTCATCATCAACATCATCATCATCGTCGTCATCGTCGTCACCATCGTCACCATTACCATCGTCGTCATGATTGCCGTCATCGTCACGGTCGTCATCATCAACGTCGTATTCATCGTCATCATCGTCGTCATCCACCACTCACCGATTCGCTCCGGCCGCTCGCTCGCGCTCGTTGTCGCTCGCTCTCCAGCGGTCAGTCGCTCTGGTATCGCTCTTCTACCGCTCGTAACTCAGAGGTGTTCGTTTGGGTGAGATCACGTAAATGTATGAATGTTGTGTCATTAAAACCGCCACCAACCGACACGGCCAATTAATAAGAGGGTGATTCACGTAAACAGAACGTGGCCAATTCGTTACTAGTTACAGCACTAGTGTGTAGTGTAGTGTATAGTGTATAGTAGTGTATAGTGTAGTGTATAGTAGTATATTGTATAGTGTAGTGTATAGTGTAGTATACTAGTACAGCACTAGTGTATAGTGTGTATTGTGTATCGTGGTGTAGTGTATAGTGCAGTGTATAGTAGTATATTGTATAGTGTAGTGTATAGTGTAGTATACTAGTACAGCACTAGTGTATAGTGTAGTGTGTATAGTAGTGTAGTGTATAGTGTAGTATATAGTAGTATATTGTATAGTGTAGTGTATAGTGTAGTATATAGTATAGTATAGTAGTATATTCTATAGTGTAGTGCATAGTGTATAGTAGTATAGTGTATAGTGTAGTATATAGTGTAGTGCATCGTGTAGTATATAGTATAGTGTATAGTATAGTAGTATATTCTATAGTGTAGTGTATAGTATAGTAGTATTTTGTATAGTGTAGTGTATAGTGTAGTATATTGTATAGTGTAGTGTATAGTGTAGTGTATATTGTAGTGTATAGTGTAGTATATTTTATAGTGTAGTGTATAGTGTAGTATACTACTACAACACACCGGTTGTGTGTTGGAGAGTAAATCCACAACATTTACAATCTGAGCCCCGTGACGTTTTGCCAGTAACTACAACCAGCATCATCAGGCGGACGGCAGGAAGATTTGTGGAGAAATCCTCCCCCTGTTCCGCTCCTTAAACAGAGGGGTTGGTGTGATGACGTCACGTGTGACGTCATGAACAGTGGGGGGGGGGAATTAATTAATTAATTTATGCATGTCATTGACTCTGGGTATCCATTGCCCACTCACCCGCTCGCTTATTTACCCACTCACTCACCCGCTCACTCACCCACCCACCAACTCACCCACGAGCTCGCTCACCCACCCACCCAACCCACTCACTCACCCACTGGTTCACTCACTCACCCACCCAACACACAACCACCCAACCCACTCACCTGCTCACCTGCCCACTCACCTAATAGTTCACTCACCCGCTCACTCACCCACCCACCCACTCACCCACTAGTTCACTCACCCACCCACCCAACCCACTCACCTGCTCACTCACCTACTAGTTCACTCACCCGCTCACTCACCCGCCCACTCACCCACTAGCTCGCTCACCCACCCAACCCACTCACCTGCTCACCTGCCCACTCACCTTATCTGTGTGCAGACAAGGAGCTCATCGACTGCACGTTCGAGTCGGGCTGGTGCTACTGGGAGCAGGACCCCTACGACAGCGCCGACTGGGAGCGGCTGAGGGGCCCCAGCAGCCCCCAGGGCTCCGGCCCGGACGTGGACCACACCGTCGGCGACGCTACCGGTAACGATGCTTCGGTGGCCTTGGGGGGGGGGGTGCTCCAGTGGCCTTGGGGGGGGGGGGGGGCGCTCCAGTGGCCTTGCTCGCAAACGACACTTGCCCCGGCAGTCTATTAAAGGCTACCCGGGGGGGCCTTTGTCTTTGTGTGTCCCCTGAACTGCAGGCTACTACATCCGCGGGTCGGTGAACGGCGTGGCGGCCAGCCTCGTCAGCCAGCTGCTCGCTCCGCAGACATCGACGGCGTGCTTCCAGTTCTGGTGGGTCCGTGCGTGATCGTCATCGAGATCGTCATTGTAATCGTCGTCGCAGTTGTCGTCATCGTCATCATCATCATGATCATAGTCGTCATCATCGTCATCGTAGTTGCCACTGTAATTGTCACCGTAGTCATTATCATCATCATCATCATCGCCATCATCGTAGTTGGCACCCTAGTCATTGTCATTTTAGTCAACATCGTCGTCATCATTGTCATCACCGTAATCATCGTCATCCTAGTTATCATCTTCATCGTCATCATCGTAGTCGTCATCGTCATCATCGTCATCGGATCCACGTCGTCTGCAATGAAAAATAAATCATCAAACCGCTCGCCTCCTGCTTCACACACATTTCTCATCTGACAGCAACGACTCTTCGCTCCCGCGGTTTTGCGCCAAATCTGTTGAGGCGCGACAGCCTGTGTAGGCTGTACGAGGATGTCTTTGCGTGCATATCCATCCCTCTGTGTGTCGCTGTATCCGTGTGTGTTCCTGTGTGTGTCCGTGTGTGTTATGGGGAGCGGGAGTGTAGCGGCTAGCGCTACGCTGCGCTACGAACCCGGCGACCCGGGTTCAATTCCCGCTCACGGCCAACAGCGGTGACGATTATCTGAACCGGTTCTGGGCCTCTTCTAGATCGACTCAGCCTCAAATGGGTACCTGGTGCGGTGTGTAAATGTCGCTGCTTGGGAGACAAAGGTGGCCGGTTGTGGTGCTGGCCACCCACAGGTGCTCGCTAACAGCACTTGCCCCGATAGTTTGTTAAGGTTATACGGGGGATCTTTATATTTTACGTGTGTGTGTGTATCCGTCCCTGTGTGTGTGTAAGGTGCTCGTTGTGTTAAAGCTCTACAGGGGATAATTGTCTTCGTCCAAGTGTATGTCCTTGTCAGTTTAACAAAAAAAAAAATTGTAAATGTTGTGGTTTCACGCTTCAACACACCGATGGGCTAAAGCAGTGAACTATTTTGTCTTTTGTCAACGTGACACTTTTTTTTGCTGATTGGCCGTGTCGGGTGGTGGAGGGTTACGACACATTTATAAATAATAACGCGATCTAAACCCAAAAACGTTGATTATGAATGTATGTCCCTGTGTCTGTCTCTGCGCGTGTCTCTGCACGGACCTCTGCGTGTCCCCGTGCGCAGGTACCACATGCACGGGGTGGACGTCTACCGCCTCACCGTGTTCCTGCGGAGGGAGGGAGCGGCCGACTCTCTCCTGTGGCAGAAGGAGGGGAACTACGGCAACCAGTGGCACTACGGGCAGATCGCCATCAGCCAGACGCAGAGCTTCAAGGTAGCCGGCGCCGGCGATCTGCCACTCTGGCCAAGCCCCTTGTCGCGTGCCGCGGTCGGAACGCGGCGGGCGCCGTTTGCAGGCCCATCGGCAGGCACGGGCGACGTGTCGTCGATGGGGCCTCCTGTTCGATCTGCTGCTGGATGAAGGCCGCGTCGAAGGGGGTTGCGGCCATGTTTTTGCGATTTGAAGTCCACGCCGGTCCCAACGGGCGCTCGTGGCCACGCGACGGGACCGAGAAAATGGCGGCGGCGCATGCGCGAGTTGTACAGTACCTCTATTACCCCCCCCTCCCACAGAGCCGCGTTCGCAAATGGTAATGGAAAACCACGATGATCACCGGTGTTGGCCGTGAGCGGGGATCGAAGTCGGGTCAACGGGCTCGTAGCGCAAGCGTTTTACTTTCCGCTCAGCGTCATAGCAACGAGCGCGCTGGGAAGTTGAACATCGCGGGACCTTTTTGGGCAGTGCTATAAAAGTATGACGATTCTGAATAGATTCGCCACCATTGTCGTCGTCACAGTCCTCCCTGCCGTCACCGTCGTCGCCGTAGTCACCGTCGCCATCATCGCCGTCGTCACCGTTGTCACCGTCACCATCATCGCCATGGTCACCGTCACTGATCACCAGTGTCACCGTCACGTCATCGGTGTCATCACCGTCCTCACCGTGGTCACCGTCAGCATCATCACCGTCGTCACCATCGTCGTCACCGTCACCATCATCACCGTCGTCACCATCGCCACCATCGCCATCATCACCATCGTCACCATCGTCGTCGTTGTCGTCACAGCCATCACCGTCGTCGCCGTGGTCACCGTCACCGTCGTCACCATCGCCACCATCCTCATCGCCGCCGTACCACGTGATGTGACGAGGTGGTGACGCCCCCTGCAGGTGGTGGTGGAGGCGCGCCGCAGGCTGCACCAGCTGTTCAACGAGATTGCGCTGGACGACGTGGCGCTCATCCCCGGGGTCTGCCCCCCCCCGCCCTCAGAGCCCCCGATTATCACCACCACCGCCCGTGAGTGACCCCCTCCACACTGCCCACACCCCCCTCCAGCGGTAGTGCGGTGGCCTCTCCCGGCGGTAGTGCAGCGCCCTCCACTCGTACCAGCGGCGTTGCAATGATGCGCCTGTGCAAGCGGGGAGTGGTGGCGCAGCGATTAGCACGCTGCACGCCGAAGCCAGCGACCCGAGTTCGATTCCCACTCATGGCCAACAGCGGTGCCCGAACTTCCGGAACCGGTCCTGGACGTCCCCTTAGGTCCGCTCAGCCATAACTGAGTGCCTGGTGCTCTGTGTGAAACATCAGCCGTGGGGAGACAAAGGCGGCCGGGCAGTGGAAATTCTGGCCACACACCACCCCGCCGAGTCAGCCTTCATAGCTGCAACTCGCTCACTGCACTTGCCCCAACGGCATGTTAGAAGGCTATATGGGAGATCTTTGTCTGTCTTCGTATCTGTGCGCAAGTTGGCACGGTAGGGGGCACAGGCGGTGAATCTGGTGGTGATGATGATGCTCGTGGATGATGATTGTCAGTGGCCATAATGATGGTGATGATTCTAGTGACGATGATGATGGTGGTCATGATGATGATGATGGTGGTGGTTGCGATTTTATCCATTTGTTAGTGAATGCTATTCCACACGACTTTCCACCGTCAAAACACCAGATACATTTACAAACTATGTAAAAGGATAAATGTTCTTTGAGTCTATGTCAGCCTCCTCCTCCTCCATCCAGCATGTTCAGGGCAACAACCAGTCCGCCCGGGACGCCCTGACGCACTTCACAGCCGATGTTCACGCCACGGTCTCCTAGCTCCACCGGCATTCACACAGCGGTTGCCTGTCACGTGGTATCACGATGTCCCACCCATCGACGTTCGGACGCAGCAACAAACTTCCCCGGTCACGCAGGGAGCAGTTCAGCTGTACCCATCGGGAAGCAACTCCTGATTTGACGTGCGCGTTTTGCCCACGTTCTGCCCGTGCGCGTGCGCAGCCCCGTGTCCCCCGGGCCAGTTCGTGTGCGCCGACATCTCGTGCGTCCCCCTGTCCGCTCGCTGCGACGGCATCAACGACTGCAACGACGCCTCCGACGAAGCCTCCTGCAGTACGTCGAGAGGGAGCGGGTCCGGGGGGTGGTGGGGCGGAGGGGAAATAGTAACCTCCTCCAGTCTCGCCTTCCTCCCTTTACTTTCACTACACCTCCCCCCCCCCCCCCCCCCCCAATGTTTACGCCCGGGTTAGAGCGGGCGATATCGGCGTTTGCAGTCAACTGAGAGGCGCGGGAAGCCGTGGGCAAAGCAGCGGATCTACTGACGACCTCCGTGGCCCCTTGTAGAGAGGTTTCGTGAACTCCCGTGAATGTGGGAGAGAACGGGAGGTGAGTGCACAGTCGGCTGTGCAAGCCTTCTCCTGGCTAGCCAGGGCACGTGGCTCATACTCGACGCCCGCCCACGGGAAGTGCTAGGTCACCTTAACCCATTCCCGTTCCGAGGCATCTGCAAGTTTGCCGCGTGGGGGCTCCCGTTCACCGCCGAATGTCGGAAACGCGCGAGCGATTCCGACATTAATTTTTGTTGTTTGCTTATAAATGTTTATTGTGACAAGAGCGCAGGACCCACATCCGACGCGCTCGCTTTCAGGCTCTGCAACAAGGAGGGGAGGGAGACCATCTGGCTTCAAATTCCTTCTCCCTTCCCTTGGAGCTTATGACTTATGGCTGCGTTCCACGCTCGCATGAATGTTCATTTTATTTCGAGAGGCGTGGTGCCGTGTTTGCAAAAGACGTTGTACTCACCGCACAGAACTGTAGCGACACGACCGCCACGCTATGATAGCCAGCGCCAAGCTGTGCCACGTGCCCTCCCGCGTTGCCTTGTGGGAGCCTCGGTACGAACAAAGTTATTTTATATTTTAGTTTTTCTTCCGTCTCCGTTCCGATGACGTACATAGAAGGTGCCACGGTGGCTAGGAGATGTTAACTACCTCGCCTGGCATACAGGAGGTCGTGGGTTCAATCACGACCCTGACACCCATGATCGTGTGGATTTTTCTCCGCATCCTCCGGCTTTCCCCTCCACATTGAGAAACAACACGCGTTTAGAGCTGTAAATTGCCACGCAATAAGCCACTTCGTTGAGCTATCATTTGTGGCCTGGTCGCTTCTGAAAAAAGAGCTACATAGCTCAGTGGGCCTTACCCAGTAACAGTAATAAAATAGTTTTAAATATCGATTTAAATCTTTCGTGACTGCAGGGATTCATCTTCTTGGTTCTTTCGGTAAAGTCACGTAGAATGGAAATAATAAAATAATAAAAATAAAACATAATAAAAAAAACGTCGTGAGAATTATTTTATTATGTTTTATTTTTATTATTTATTATTTCCATTCTACGTGACTTTACCGAAAGAACCAAGAAGATAGTTTTAAATAGCTCAGCTTAGTACGCGAACATCATCGGAATGCGAACGGGTAAAGTGGGGTCATCGTGCTGGTTCGGCTCGGTTACGAGCCAGTGGAAAAATGAGTCTTAGGGTTCCTCTCAGTTGGATCAATTCACAGAGGGGTCGGCATAAAGTGACTGGAAAAACTAGAGCAGAGTTATGAGCGGAGCACTAATAGGACAATAAATAAGTGTGGGCTCAAGAAAGCTGCAGTGCAATGTGGGGCAGTTATCCTCATCAGGCCATCCGTCGAACACCGCAATCAACAAGATGTGAGCGAGTGGGCGGGCAAGCAAGCGGGTGAGGTGAGCGTGTGAACAATAAAAAAAAACAATTTGCATCGTCCCTCTGCAGATTCCGGCTGTGACGACAACTTCCTGCTCACGGGGATGTCCGGGAGCTTCAACTCCATGAACTTCCCCGGGGACTACAACGACAACGCCAACTGCCACTGGATCATCCGGTGGGTGGGTGGATTAGCTCGAGTGAGTGAGTGAGGAGTGAGTGTCACCCGGCCAGTATTCCAACCGGGAACACCTCTGCCCATGTCCCCGGCACCGCCGCGCGCCCGACGTCCTGACGGCACTCCCGTTCTTTTCCCCGCAGGGCCCCAGATGACTACGCCGTCCAAATCTCGTTCTCGGCCTTTGCGCTTGAAAACAGATACGACTTCCTCAAGATCTACAAGGGCCTGGGCCCCGACAAGGAGCTCCAAGGTGAGCGGACCGAGGGATCGGTGGACCGGTAGCTCATGCGTCGAACTCGGACCCCACACCGCATCGCAGCAAAGGGGCCGGGCTCCGCTGTCTGTACGAGATCTCCAGGACCGGCAGTCTCGCCGGCATTGGTTCGAGCCGAGCCCGACTCTGTTGCCGATGAGACGCCGCGCGTCGTAATTGGTCGGGAGTTTATTTTTCGCTTTGGCCTGAATCAATGCTGCTGAAATAGTGCAGGCTCGGATGGTCGTGCTTTATTGCTTTACGTGAAGGGGACACTGTTGGGGGACATGTGCACCAACAGGGGCTTGCACACAAACACGTCCACGTCGACATCTACGCACACTTCTTTTAGCCCCGCCCCCCTCCCAATACGTTCCATTCATTGGCTACCACATTCTGATAAGCTCCCCCCCCCTTAACTTGTATGTAAGAGCTTGCATCTTGGAATCCCTGCCTCACTTGATGCAGCAAATCTGGCTGTGACGGTCCCACCTGATGACAGAGACTTGTGTTGCCTCCGAAACGTCGTGATTTCTATTTATTTATTAATTTTAATTTCATTCTTTTTACCTACGTGACTTTACCGAGAAAACTAAGAGTATACTGTTGGGGGAGGCACGCGGTTGTGGGTATTGCGTTGTGGCTTTTTCGGGATGTTGCTCCATGAACGTGGCTGCCGATCTCAGGCACGAGTCTGCCGCCGTCGTGCGTCGAGTCTGGAACGCGCACGTGCCGAACGTACGTCGCCCGGTTCTTGTTTGGGATTTGTTATTACCCTTAATAGTGTGCACGGTCATTGCATGGGCGTGGCTCTTGTCGGAACGACTCGGCAACCCCAACGTGCCTTAAACATCAAGATCTTGCTTTATCTTCACAGAGCGCCTCGGCTCAAGGTGCTTTTCCAAAGTTTGAAAGCAGTTAAAACGAATGCGATTTTGTTGGCAGGGGAGGGGTGCAAAATGAGAAGGAATTAGTGACCATTACAGAAGACTCATAGGGATCACCAAAGGGCTATAGTGGAGGGACGGGAAGGAGGGCGACTGCTTAATGTATGGGGGGCGGTGTTGAGTCTATGGGTAGTGTTGAGTCTATGGGCGGTGTTGAGTCTATGGGCGGTGTTGAGTCTGTGGGCGGTGTTGAGTCTATGGGCGGTGTTGAGTCTGGTGCAGTGTTGAGTCTATGGGCAGTGTTGAGTCTGGTGCAGTGTTGAGTCTGTGGGCAGTGTTGAGTCTATGGGCCGTGTTGAGTCTGGTGCAGTGTTGAGTCTGGTGCAGTGTTGAGTCTATGGGCGGTGTTGAGTCTGTGGGCAGTGTTGAGTCTGGTGCAGTGTTGAGTCTATGGGCCGTGTTGAGTCTATGGGCAGTGTTGAGTCTATGGGCAGTGTTGAGTCTATGGGGAGTGTTGAGTCTGTGGGCAGTGTTGAGTCTATGAGCGGTGTTGAGTCTATGGGCGGTGTTGAGTCTGTGGGCAGTGTTGAGTCTATGGGTAGTGTTGAGTCTATGGGCAGTGTTGAGTCTATGGGTAGTGTTGAGTCTATGGGCAGTGTTGAGTCTATAGGCAGTGTTGAGTCTATGGGCAGTGTTGAGTCTATGGGCAGTGTTGAGTCTGTGAGCAGTGTTGAGTCTGTGGGCAGTGTTGGGTCTATGGGCAGTGTTGAGTCTATGGTGCAGTGTTGAGTCTATGGGCAGTGATAAGTCTATGGGCGGTGTTGAGTCTGGTGCAGTGTTGAGTTTATGGGCGGTGTTGAGTCTGTGGGCGGTGTTGAGTCTGGTGCAGTGTTGAGTCTATGGTGCAGTGTTGAGTCTATGGGCAGTGTTGAGTCTGTGGGCGGTGTTGAGTCTGTGGGCGGTGTGGAGTCTATGGGCGGTGTGGAGTCTATGGGCGGTGTTGAGTCTATGGGCAGTGTTGAGTCTGGTGCAGTGTTGAGTCTATGGGCGGTATTGAGTCTGGTGCAGTGTTGAGTCTATGGTGCAGTGTTGAGTCTGTGGGCGGTATTGAGTCTGGTGCAGTGTTGAGTCTATGGTGCAGTGTTGAGTCTATGGGCGGTGTGGAGTCTATGGTCGGTGTTGAGTCTATGGGCAGTGTTGAGTCTGGTGCAGTGTTGAGTCTATGGGCCGTGTTGAGTCTATGGGCGGTGTTGAGTCTGTGGGCAGTGTTGAGTCTATGGGTGGCAGTGTTGAGTCTATGGGTAGTATTGAGTCTATGGGCAGTGTTGAGTCTATGGCAGTGTTGAGTCTATGGGCAGTGTTGAGTCTATGGGCAGTGTTGAGTCTGTGAGCAGTGTTGAGTCTGTGGGCAGTGTTGAGTCTATGGGCAGTGTTGAGTCTATGGTGCAGTGTTGAGTCTATGGGCAGTGATGAGTCTATGGGCAATGTTGAGTCTATGGTGCAGTGTTGAGTCTGTGAGCAGTGTTGAGTCTGTGAGCAGTGTTGAGTCTATGGTGCAGTGTTGAGTCTATGGTGCAGTGTTGAGTCTATGGGCAGTGTGGAGTCTATGGGTACTAGAGGCTTCAAGGGAGGAACAGAAGGGTGTTAAGGAAGCGGGCTGCTTAATGTACAGGGGACCGTTCCAGCCCCTGCGCACCACAAGGCAACTTTTCCATTTTAACTGACAAATGAGGGCAAACGTAACCACACGGTGATTGAGGCCTATCGCCGTGCGGCTTGTACTGTTTGTACGCGCACGTGCCGATCGGTGCCTTGGTTACTTGGTTACTCAAACTCCGCGGTGCAACAGTTACACCGGTTATTGTTTAATAACCCTCTACCATTTTCTCTCGTTTTGTCCCGCTCTCTCTGTGCGTGTGCGTCTCTCCGCATCGCAGCCTCGTTGACGGGAACGAGCATTCCAGGCGACGTGCGGGTCTTCAGCCACGAGCTCACCGTGGAATTCACCTCCGACGCGAGTCAAACAGACAGCGGCTTCAGTGCCACCTTCACAGCGTTTGACTTCTCCGGACTCACGAGTACATCACCACACAATACACTCACTCACCCGCTCATACACTCACTCACCCACTCACTCACTCAACCACTCACTCACCCACCCACCCACTCCCTTCACCACGTTCCGTTTCTCCGGACTCACAAGTATGGCCAGCGAGAGCGGCATGGCCCTCTCACCCGCCCACTCACTCACTCACCCACCCACTCACTCACTCACCCGCTCGCTCACTCACTCAGCCGCTTACTCACTCGCTCACCCGCTCACCCGCTCACTCACTCAGCCGCTCACTCACTCGCTCACCCGCTCACTCACTCACCCGCTCGCACACCCACCCACCCACTCCCTTCACCACGTTCCTTTTCTCCGGACTCACAAGTATGGCCAGCGAGAGCTGCGTGGCCCTCTCACTCACTCACTCACTCACTCGCTCGCTCGCCCGCTCGCTCGCTCACTCACTCACCCGCTCACTCAGCCACTCACTCGCTCACCCGCTCAGTCACCCACTCTTTGTCTGTGTATAGACAAGGAGCTGGTGGACTGCTCCTTCGAGTCGGGCTGGTGCTACTGGGACCAGGACCCTTATGACAGCGCTGACTGGGAGCGGTTGAGCGGGCCCAGCTCTCCACCCAACACTGGCCCGGACGTGGACCACACCTTTGGGAATTCTTCAGGTGCGCGCGAATGCAGAGGCTTGTGTTTTCCCACATGATGGATGCCGTGCCCTACGAGAGGCCAAGGAGTGGACATCCATCCTTCTCTGTCTGCCCATCCACCCATCCACTTGTCCATCTGTCTGTATGTCCGTCTGTCCATCCGTCCATGCTTGAGAATGCTGTCAATGAGCCTGCCTGTAGGTCTGTGTGCAAAGTTGGGTCACGGTAACCCTCGTAAAGATGATCTAATGTGAACGAAACAGGAAAGTACAAACGCATGTTGGAAACCGTTATAGAATCCTTGCGTTGCATGATTGTTCTCCCTGGTTTCTCCCGCAGGGTTCTACATCCGGAACCAAAACAGCGGCGTCGCCACAAGCATCCGCACGTTTACCTTGGACCCCGAACCCAACCCCACGTGCCTCAAGTTCTGGTGAATACGATGACACGTTACCCTCCACTAGAAGCTCCACGGTGGTGTGGGAATAGTTTGAAATCACACGGGCCCAGAATGTAAACAATGGGCCCTTACCTGTAGACATCCTGTCAGTTCATCGGCAAAGTCTGCCTCTGCCGATGAGTCACCGTCCGCCCAAACCCGGTCCACTGGACTCAACGCTACTGAAATTGTGTGTGATCCACAATCCTCGCTGCTGCTGCCTCCACATTGCTGACAAACAGGCAGCCATGTGCGGCGTAACCACCACCACCGGCCGGCTGTGTGACAAGAAACTTGCAAACGCCACATGTCTGTGCATGTCATTGTGTTGTGTGTCCACGTGCGTTGGTGCGTGCATATTTGTACACCCGTCTCTGCGTGTCCCTTTGCGCAGGTTCCACATGTACGGGGTGGACGTCTATCGCCTCTCCGTGTCCCTGCGGAGGGAGGGAGTGCCCGATATTCCCGCGTGGCTCAAAGAGGGGAACTACGGCAACGTTTGGCACTACGGGCAGCTCTCTTTCATAGAAGCAAATTCCTTCCAGGTCAGTGCACGCTGCTTTGTCACCGTCAGCAGCTAAGGCAAGTCCCACGGGGCACGGTCTGAAATTCGGGGCTGCAGTTTACAGGCCCATTGGCAATATGCCGTACTTGTCATGGGGCCTCCTGTTGATCTGCTATTGGATGAGCCCCCCCCACGCCAAAGTTGTGGCCTCATTACAAGAATAGGCCTAGGCTCAAGTCCCAACTCGGACTCCTCTCTGTGCTGAAAATCTAATTATTCAGTAATAAAAAAATATATATATCATGCGTACCAGTGTTCCAAACCTCGTTGTATGGTTTTGTCAAAAACAATCATCTTCGTCTTCGATTTTCGGTTACGGTTCGCAAATGTTATTCCCGGTCAACGGTTACTGGTTACCGGTTTACTCTCCATTGCAGGTGGTGTTTGAGGCCCGGCGGAGAGCCGGCAGCAGCGAGATAGCGCTGGACGACATCTCGCTGGAGCCTGGGTCTGCCCGGAGTTGCCCTATTCCCCGCCCACCCCTATAATCCCTACCACCCGTGAGTCTTCCGCCGAGCCTCGTGGTCTGATGGCCACGTTATGAATCGACGTGCAGGCTGAGCCGGGATGAGTTGGGCCCGGAAATGGCTTTTGTCAGATATGTAGACGATTTGCCATCGACTGGCACTGCGAGCCTTAGACTCGCACAGACACCCACAAACTCGCACAGAGACCCATAGACTTGCATAGAGACCCATAGACTCACACAGAGGACCCATAGACTCACACAGAGACCCATAGACTCACAGAGAGATCCATAGACTCGCACAGAGACCCATACATAGACTCACATAGAGACCCATAGACTCACACAGAGAACTAAAGACTCGCAGAGAGAGACAGATCCATGGCTGGCTTATGTATGGCTCGCTGGTTCTAGGCTCACCGGAGCCAGAGCCTAGCCTGAGCCGATCCATGACTACCAAAACGAGGGCATTATCCTGAGCTGCTATTACAGACGCCAGACTGTCTACAAACATTGGACGCCAGCAGCTGCAGCAGCAGACATTCTCCGCTCTTGCGATCACTCTTTTGCCTTCTTCTTCTCCCCCTCCGCTCCATTGTGCCTCCTCCCATCCGCTCTATCAGGCCGGTGACCCGAGCTGGATTCCCGCTCACGGCCAACACGAGTGACGATTTTCTGAACAGGTTTTGAGCTTACCCTATGTCGAGCGAGCCTCAAATGAGTACCTGGTGCAGTGTGTACACATCGCCACTAGGGAGACAAGGCAGCCAGGCATGGTGCTAGTCACCCACCTCCTCGTGCACCGTGCCGGGTTTCATAGGTGCTCGGAAACAGCACTTGCCCCAACAGTGCACTGAAGGCTACACGGGGGATCTTTGTGTGCATGCAGCCCCGTGTTCTCCGGATGAGTTCGTGTGCGGGGACATCTCCTGCATCCCTCTACTCGCGCTCTGCGACGGCGTCACCGACTGCAACGACACCTCGGACGAAGTTGCCTGCAGTACGTTGAGCGGGGGGCGGGGGGGGGGAAGGTCCCCCTCCCGCCATGCCTTCCTCTCTAACTCCCATTTCTCTCCACGTCATCCCCAACGTTTACCCCCGATGCCGCCGGGTTAAAGCGGGAACGTCAATGATTTCCATAATTTCAGAGGCGCGGGGAAGTCACGGACGAAAGTTGTTCAAGGCAGCAGCGCTACTAACGATCGCTCGAGCCCTGTGGTCTTTCTAGGGAGGGTTGGCAAACTCCGAATTAATGTGGGAGGGAACCGGAGATGAAATATCCTGGCTTGCCAGGAGAAGGCTGTGCCCGCCTTCTCCTGGCAAGCCAGGATATTTCTCCTCCTCGATGCCCACCCCAAGGAAAATCTTGGGTCCTCAAAGTGGTGTCACTTGCCCTGTCTGACTTGGATACTCGCCAGTGGACAAGGAGTCAAAGTCTAGGTCCTCTGATGTGGAATCAATTCGCAGAGATATTTGGTATGAGGGCCAAATCGGAGTGAGGGGTCAGGATAAATTGACTGGCTTATTGAGCTTGCCATCGAAAGCCTCAAATGACAAAATGTGAGTAAGGCGAGTGGGTGGGTGATTGAATAAGCAGGGGGGTAAATGAGTGTGAGCGAGTGAGTGTCTGAGCTGGTTCATGAAATAACCAACCTGCATTATCGCTCTGCAGATTCCGGCTGTGATGACAACTTCCTGCTTACGGGACATCCGGGAGCTTCAACTCTATGAACTTCCCTGAGAACTATGTAAACAATGCCAACTGCCGCTGGATCATCCGGTGGGTGGGTGGGTGGGAGGGTGGGTGAGTGGGTGAATGGGTGAATGGGTGGTTGAGCTTGATTGAGTGTGTGTGAGTGAGTGAGCTAGCGAAGCGAGGGTGACCCGGCCAGTATCCAACCGTGAACCTCTGCACCAGAGTCCCGAATGCACCACGGCTTGGCCATTCCTTGGCCTGCCCGTGGTCACATCCTGACCACGCGCCCACTCTTTTCCCCACAGGGCCCCAGATGGCTACGCAGTCCAATTCTCATTCTCGGCCTTTGATCTTGAAAACAATTACGACTTCCTCAAGATCTACAAGGGACTGGGCGCTGACAAGGAGCTCCAAGGTGAGCAGACCGAGGGATTGGTAGACCGGTCATCATCATCATCGATCACTCAGGGTCGAGTATGATTGTCCTCCTGGTGGGTTATTTTTGGGGATCTTCAGATGGCTGAAGAGGCCGATAAGAGATCCGCAGATTCTGCTGCAGTGTGGCAAGGGAATGTGATGGTGGTGGATAATGGGTTGGGCCTTCTTGGTGGTTAACCTCCTTCCTAAGTTGTTGCCGCTTGTCCTCTGTGGCACGGTGAAGATCTTTTTGCGTAGAGTGTGACCCCATCTTGGATAATCTTCCTCCGTGTGGTTCTGTCCTGTGCAATGTCTTCCCAGTTGGTGGTGTTGATGTGGCCACTTCTTGAAGTCGTTGTTCTTGTAGCGCTCCTTCTGTCCTACAGGGGCACACTGTCTTGCGTTTAGTTTGGGATACAGGACCTGTTTAAGGAGGGCAGGAGTTGGGCATCCTAACAACGTGGCCAGTCCATCTGAGCTGGTGTTGGGTGATTGTAGTGGTGATGATGTTCAAGTTTGCCTCCTCCATGATGCAGCTTCATTGACGGGAACAAGCAACCCGGCGACGTTCGGGTCTTCGCTCACGAGCTCACCGTGGAGTTCACCTCCGATAGCAGTCAAGTCAAAAGCGGCTTCAGCGCCTCCTTCAGCACATTCGACTTCTCTGCTCTCACAAGTAAGGCCAGCGAGAACATTCCGGCCCACCCAGTCACCTGCTGGCTCACTCACGACCATGGCCAGTGAGAGCTGCGTGGTCCACTCATCTGCTCACCCGCTCACTCACCCACTTTTTGTCTGCATGTAGACAAGGATCTGGTGGACTGCTCCTTCGAGTCGGGCTGGTGCTACTGGGACCAGGACCCTTACGACAGCGCCAACTGGGAGCGGCTGAGTGGGCCCAGCTCTCCAGCCACCACTGGCCCGGACGTGGACCACACCTTTGGGAACTCGTCAGGTATGCACTTAGGAGAGAGAAAAAACCAGCGCTAAAAGTACAAACGCATGTTGGAAACCATTATAGAATCCTTGCGTTGCATGATTGTTCTCCCTGGTTTCTCCCGCAGGGTTCTACATCCGGAACCAACACAGCGGCGTCGCCACGAGCATCCGCACGTTTACCTTGGACCCCGAACCAAACCCCACGTGCCTCAAGTTCTGGTGAATGCGACCACATGTCCCCATTTATGAGGAGCTCCACAGTGGTGTGGGAATAATTTGAAATCACACTGGACAAGAATGTAAATGGTTGGACCCTTGCCATTGTGAGAAGGAACACATGTTCCAACCCTATGTCCATGGATCTGACAGCTCTGCTATTGAATTATATTTAGCGAAGGGTGCTTAAACACCCTTAAACCTCTAGACATCCTGTCAGTTCACCAGCAAAGTCTACCTCTACCAGTGAGTCACCATGCATCAAAACCCAGTCCAGAGTTTCGCTTGTCTTGAATCAACGCTGCTGAAATTGTGTATGATCCACAAACCTCGCTGCTGTTGCCTCCACACAGTGCTTGGTAACAGAATCCATGTGTGTGTTGCTGAGTGTCCTGTTCTGTTTGTGTGTGTTCATGTGTAAGTATGCCCATCCCTGTGTATCTCTGTGTCCCTGTGTCCATCTCTGTGTCTGACTCTGCCCGTCTGTGTGTCCTAATGTGCAGGTACCACATGTATGGGGTGGACGTCTATCGCCTATCCCTGTCCTTGCGAACCGAGGGAGTGGCTGACGTTCCCCTGTGGGTCAAGGAGGGGAACTACGGCAACCAGTGGCACTACGGGCAGCTCAACTTCAGCCAATCACAGAACTTCCAGGTCGGTGCATGGCATTTGCCACCCTCACCAGCCCAATTGGCCATGGTCTGTTTAACACGTAGGCTTTTGCAATCAATATCATCCATAAAAGGTTTTTTTTAGGGTTAGATCGTGGTCTGAATGTTACAAAGGTGCGGTTTGCAGACCCATTGGTAATATGCCGAAATAGTTATGAAGCCTCCTCTCGATCCACTACTGGATCAGGGCCCCCCCGGTGCCTCCAGGCGTTCACCAACACGTTGTTTTTTGGACGACAGTGGTGAATGTTGTGGCTCTCATGGCAAAAATGGGCCTAGGTTTGAGTCCCGCCTTGGGCGCCTCTCTGTGTGGGGTTGGGACGAATGCCCCCTGTTCCACTATGCACTTGCTCCAGTGCTGAAAAAGCTAATCACGGGTTTTTAGTCGAAAACAATCATCTTTATCTTCAATTGTCAGTTACGGTTCGCAATATTTTCGGTTAACGGTTATTGGTTACCGGCTTCCCCTCTGTTGCAGGTGTTTGAGGCCCGGCGGAGGGCCGGCAGCAGCGAGATAGCGCTGGACGACATCTCACTGGAGCCTGGGGCCTGCCCGGAGTTGCCCTACCCTGAGCCCACCCCGATAATACCCACCACCCGTGAGTCTTCCTCCTGATGGCCGCGTTACAAATCGCCGTGCGGGCCGAGTAGTTAAAAATGGCTTCCATTCGATTTATAGAAGATTTGGGTCAGCGCCCTTTAAAGAGTTTTCACAATTTGCAAATTCATGCAATTTGAGTAAAAACTCGCCCCTACTAAAGAAGGTATCGCAAAACTTTACAGTATAAATGTAACGAAGGTAGTTCTACATGTCAAATCAAGACATGTGAAAAAAAAGCTAAATGAGAGGACATACTCAAGGAAAAGCCAAAAGGAAGAAAATGCGTCTTGCAGAGTATCCTGAACTGTTTGGTGCTCAGATCCAACCTTTGGGCCCACGGACGAGAGTTCCAGATATTAGGCCCCACACTCGAGAAGGCCCTACTGCCCAGCGTAGAATGAAAAATTCTAGTTCCCCTAGGTCGACTGAGCCTCAAATGAGCACCTGGTGCGGTGTGTAAACATCGCCGCTCGGCAGACAAAGGCGGTCGGGCGTGGTGCTCGCCAACCCACCCTCCCTGTACGCCGTGCCGGCCTTCGTTAGGAGCTCACGAACAGCGCTTGCCCCCAAAAGTCTGTTAAGGCTACACGGGGGATCTTTGTCTTTGTGTGTGTGCGTAGCCCCGTGTCCCGCGGGTCAGTTCGTGTGCGCCGACATCTCATGCATCCCCCTGTCCGCTCGCTGCGACGGTGTCAACGACTGCAACGACGCCTCCGACGAAGCCTCCTGCAGTAAGTCGAGAGGAAGGGGGAAGAGTTACCGCTCTGCAGAGGTCGCAATCGGTTTTGATTCCTTACCTGTACCCGTACCCGGCCGCACCAGGGTCGCAAACAGGTACCCGTACCAGTACCCTACCCGATACTCAGCTACCCGTGCCTGGCCGGGTACGGGTAGGGTACGAGTATTGGGTACCCGATTGCGACCTCTGGGATGAAGCCATGTTGCAGGCGCGGGTGGGTTGATTCTAGGAACTTGAATTGTGAGAAGAGACAAGATGTTGGAAAATGAGTGACAAACGGTGACTCACCAGTGACTCAAGGCCTACCCGTACCCATACCCAACCACATCAGGGTCGCAAACGGGTAGCCGGGTATCGGGTACCCGGTTGCGACCTCTGCCCCTCTGGTCTTGCCCTCGTCAAGGGCGACAGAACGGCTCGCGCGACCCTGAACGCGGCGTGAGCAATGACTCGCTGGGGCCCGTTACCATGTGGCACCCTGCTGTTGTGGAGTTACTCATGCAGCCAGCTATGGCTGCAGGATTTTGGTAGTACATGTTGTTTGTCGTTTATGGTGAAAATTCTGTCACAGTTCCTATGATCACTGTTTCATTGCTTTATTTAGGTGATTTCGAAAAGTTTACTGGTTTGGCCATGTTTGTTTGTTGTAGTACGGAGGACTGATGGCCTTAATCTAAGTTGTCTTGTGGTTGTTGTTGTTGTTTGACTTGCATCCCACTGGGATTTTTGCACACAGCGTTGGTGTATGGTGCTTTTTCTGCAATATTTTGCTGTCTTTTCTTGGAT